GAAAGGTTGGGCTCATTTTTATGACCAATTATACATTAAGGCTGAGATATTACGATATATGACACTTTTCTCAAGAGCGAAGAAAGTAAAATAATCAGTTATTAACATCAATAAATAATCTATTATAGATGTATCGGGATGTTAAACTATTGAATAGTGTGCAAAAGAATCTTCGTTCGAAACAAAGACTCAAAAACTGTTAGGATCCATTTTTACACCCTTGAAAGGTGGTTAAGCCAGAGAAAGCTTTTAAGGTCTGGTCATACAGTTTACCACACATCACATGAAGCAAGTTGGAGGAGGGCTCATCTTATTTAAACTCAAACACTTCGCCATTAAATTGAGTATAATATGAGATGTATTTCATTCATATAATATTCAAATAGCAGGATCTTCATTGACTCTGATCTGTTAGAAGAATAACAACAATTTCCAACAACCGATAAACATGAACAATATCTCAACTAGCAGTTTCAAGTTGTTAAAAAAGAACCTATTGTTCCGTTGTACTATTTAAACTTGGATTAATTTTAATTTGGTTATTTATTCTCTGAAGGATTGACTTACACTAAGCCACGAAAAGTCAGAAAATCTAATTTTTCTAATCATTGGGATGTTACAAACATACCAGTTACTTACAAAAAGAACTAACGTTATTCACAGCGGTAAAGTAATACTTTATGAATATAATTCACTTTCAACAAGACAGCTATTTCTGCATGCATGATCAATAACGCATAACAACGGTTTAAGTGTAGGGTTATAAACTTGCAGACCTACTTAAAGATTAAATTAATGAATAAGGCAAATTTAACAGTGAAGTTTCCAAACATATCAGTTAAATATTTATATCATGGAGCCGCCTAATAGCATTTCATTCGTTATATAATAACAAAGATGAGGTGCCTTGTTTAACTTTCGACGTTGACATACACGAACTTTAGGGATATGATGCAGATAAAGTTATAAGTTCTGTTGTTGAACGCTACAAACTTAACGATAAGCAAACGAGATCAAAGATATGAACGACGGGGCAAATAAGTATGAATCCTCAATGATGCTAAAACCGTTACAGTGGAATAAGCACAGGCATGTCAAATCGGTAGCTGAACGTCATACTAGTTCTTATAACTGTACTGCAGCAAAAAATCTCCAGGTTTATTATGGAAACGAAGGCAATGAATTTTGAAGTATAACACTGTAGAGTGTATAGGAATAACGGTAGAAAGGCTGAAATAAGAACCAGGAAAGCTGTCCAGTAAATTTCAGAACGTAAAGGAGTACTCAATATTTCTATGAAATTATTATTGTCGACTGTTTGTTGCATTGTGTTCATCATCATTTTATATCAAGTTTCAACTTTTTAGCTATTAGGAGAGAGTGGGTAACTGTAAAACAGTGAAGGAACTATAATTTATCATCCTTGTGATTCACTTGGTAAATAGCTTAGGTGGTCATACTCCCGACTATCTTGTAAGAGTTATACTGGTGGGAGTGAGTAAGAGTACCTCTAGTGTAGGTAAAGCCTTACGTTTCACATTAACTCGTTTTTTCTAAATTTTCCCATACTGTGTACAGTTCCAGACGACCAGCATAGGTCAGTTGACACAAACCGATAGTGCTGCTCAGGGATTGTAGTGCCACAACGGCAGAAGACCCAATCACCTCAAGATTTGTTTCCTAGTTTTGAATGGCTGGTTCTAACTACTGATAACAATGTGATTTTCGTAGGAACTATGTATCACAATTTGAGTTGATAAGCATACAACGCAGACCACTCACCACTAGCCCAACTTGATAAAATGCCTAAAGGAATCCTATCTGGGCTATATAAAAATGTATTGCCAACATGGCATTGCACAAATAACCACATTTGGGCCAATTGAAATATTAACGACTACCATTAGACCATGAATTATAGGGTACAATACGCAGAACAAAATCGAACCCGTCAAGGCTTACGGAGGTAATGTTTAGCTTCGGTATCTCTCGTCCAGCCCAAAGACACATTGCGTATAGGGACATTGTAATGATTGTTTGTACTAGTGATTGCTCCGTGTCTTATTTCGCCCCTGACTCCGGGTCAAAATACAATAACATTAGCTGTTCTTTCAGAGTTCCCCCCAATTTGAAGACTGGTTTATATTCGACCAAAAAAGTATGACTTGAGACGTTATGGGAATTAATGCTTAATATAACTAACGCAACACATGCGAGAGTCTTGAAAAGTAAAGAACAAGAGAAACACTTAGTCAACAACTCAGTAAGAACATTGAATATAATTCCATTGAATGGTAAAAGCGTTCGATAGCCATAAGTAATGAAGTAGGAATAGAATTGTTATTATGCACAGATGAAAAACAAAAGTGAATAAGGCTTTTGTTATATCTAGAAGGTTGTTCTTGATTTACCGCGTATAACGTGAGCACTATAACGCCACAATCCTTCCTTTCATCTGGACCCATAATCTGCTATGCGTCTGAGAACCGTGTCCACCTTATTCTGTAAGTCGGCATAGTCTGTACCCATGATCAGTATGTGATCGAGATAGGCCACTCTACCAGTAATATCTTGTAACATAGTATCCATAACTTGCTAGAAGATTGAAGGGGCGGCCGTTACTCCAAAAGGAAGTATGTTATATCGGAACAACCCTTTATGAGTGTTAATTGTCAAGCAATGCTTACACTCTTCCGCTAATGGGATCTGTAGTCAAGCTTCTGATAAGTATAATTTTGCAAAATACTCACCCTCATTCAGTTTCGCAAATAAATCTTCTGATACCGGCAAAGACTATTGATGGGCTTCAAGTGCTTCTTTTATCCAGTCGAATAATCTGCGCATAACCTGATACTTCCATTTGGCTTTTTGACAGTCACTATTGATACTGCTCGATCAGAAAAGTTTACTGGTTCTATTAATCCACTTCTTTGCAGACGCTCTAATTCTTGTTCAACAATAGGCAGCGCTTCATAGGATAACGGACGTTTTAGTCTGAAGACGAGGGAAATTGCCGGTTTAAGAACCAGCAGTGCTTTTACCTTTTTGCACTCACCCAACTCTTCCGTAAACACTTAACTATATCTTTCCAACACAACACCCTTCAGATCCTTTTCCACTGGTTTATTGTTTCTCACGGCGCTGCATATGTGGTTAATGGTGTGATTTGCTAATTGTAGTGTTTCTATTAGGTCTAGACCCAGCAAATCTAGTCCTGGGTTTTCTGTCAGATATAACGTTGCATTCGTCTTGGCGTTTCTTTTTGAAGCTGTACAACTAACCTCTCTAACAATATTTAATTTCCCTCCAGATGCACTATGAGCTAACTGGGTTGTTGGGAGCACCTGTGGTTTACCAATAACATTCCAGGTTTTTCGACTAATAAATATGATGTCGGAAGCAGTGTCGAGCTGCAGGCGTGCGCGCTTTTTATTAACATCTAAGCTTACATACTTTCGTTGGCGTTAAAATTGTGCTCGATTATGTGATACCAATATTTTGTTTGTTAGAGCACAATATCTGTATTTCTTGGAGTAGGGTTTCGAAGAATGTCGTTTATGGGTTCTTTTCCCGCAGCGGTTTTCTTTATGGCCCTTCCGATGACACTTGCTACAACAATGTTCTTTATACAGGCAGAACCTCTTATAATGCCAACCTCCACATGACCAACATGGGGATAAAGACTGATTGTCTGTGTGCGATAATTTTCTTGAGCAGGAATCTTTCTTTCCCCTACAACATGAACGTATGGCGACTGGCCATTATTTTCGACCATGGAAGTGTCATGTTTTAAGTTTACCAATCTCTAGCACTCTATGGTTACTTCCTGTAGTGTTGTATTCGGACATTGTTCAATTTTACTCGAAATTCTGGTTCTAATATCAGCACCTTCCGGAGATTGGAGGCTGCACACAAACACGAGACACTCAAGCTGATTTTCTGTTATTGACGATAGTTTGGAGCACTCATATTCACGGTTTACTAACCCCGCATGCTTCACCCAGTCATCATCACCTCCTCGAGTTCACCCGTGGTCCGTCGTCAGAGTTTTAGTTGTCCTTCAGATGAAATGACACTTGTTGCAACTAGTAGACTTTGAATTTTTGATTGAACAAACTCAAACTTCTTCCTCTTCACTTTCCAGTAAAGCTAAATCATCTACGTAAACGGGAGATAATAGACACAAATAAAAGAGTTACCGTGGGAAGAGTCGGGATCATAATGTAAATATTACGACACTTGAATTATGGCTGTTTTAAGTAATGGATATAAATCTCAGGTCTTCATCTTGATCCGCATCGCCAACACGAAGTCAAATTCAGTTAACCTCATTCTCTGGAGATATTGTGCATAACAAGGAACACGAAGCTCTCCTTCTTATGGTTTGGCATATATGTGAAATACCTAGCACTTGTAAATCATCAACGTAGATCATCTATGTCGAAATGATTGGAGGCGTAGTTGAATTAGAAGTGAATCGTGTGACAAACTAGTTAACGTCGAAATCACACCTCGTGGTCGACACCTTACGTGGATTACCCCATTGACGGATCAAGGTACATTGGATGCTTCGGAGACTGTACAACAAAAAGGACGTTATTACAGGAATATATTAGTTAAAGTAGATTCAAACGAAGGTATGACCACTGCCGTATGGGTCAGTCCGTGGTGTACGATTAACTTAGGCGGGTTGGTTGTCCTTGACCTTGACGTCGATCGATGATTTATTCGATATTCAATGACCTAACTGCCGGATGATTTGGCTAGGGCTCAGTGGAATTTCACTGACCGTACACACTTTTACACTCAATAATTATATCAGTGATGCTTATATGATAGTAACTTTCGTTAAGAGCCTCATCTTAGACCATAATTTTTACTCTCTTCGCTTGTTAACCAGGGGGTTCTGATTCACGACAGAAACACGTTCATATAAAGCACATTTAGATAGCCTTAGATGATTGAAATAATAGCTTAATTAAGATTTATACTAGTATATGCAATAATGAATTTCCAAATGAGTTAAAAAAATGCTCGAAAATAGTAGTTATCGATCTTCATTGTTCGTCGAATTATATTATAATTCTCGCCAGCAGTCAGATTTAAAAGATTGTTGCGTAGTGACCTTGCTTGAGGAGGTTGTTCAATTCAATCTGGCAAGTGTAGGTGTCCGGCTTGCCTGCAATCGTCTTTTCACTCTAAGTTACTCAGGGTCTTGTCGTACGAAGTTTGCACCAAAAATCCATCCCTACATACTCAGATATACTTTTTATTCCATGCCGCAGAAATCAATCTTGTGAGTTATGTGTCTGGAAATAATGCATCTTAAAACACTTCATCTAAATACTTTCATGATTTTAATAATCGCCTAGATTGTTTGCATTAGGCTATATTTGTGAGTGAATATTTTTCCTAGAGTGTCATATAGCTAAATGGTTTTGGTAACCATTACCTGTTTTTTTAGAATTTCAGTCTCCCTATTTTTGGGAAAGTTTTATCCTGTTTAGGTGAATTTTGGGAAAACGGCGCAAAACCCTGAAGTTTCTCCAGACACTTTTGGGATTTTCCCCAAAATCTACCCAAACTGGACAAAACTTTCCCCAGTATAGGGATGTTGGGTTTCTTGTCTAGAAACCAAATTTTCACTTCATGTGGTTTCCCTAAAGCCTGTGGAGCCGAAAATTTGTGTACTTATATCAGGAGTTATGTGCTACTTGATTTACCCGAAAAGTACTACCGTAGTAATCTTTGGATGGCACTTTTCTTACTGGTCTCGTATTATCACCGAAATTTTTTGATGTTTTTCGTGAACAAAGATGTGTGTATTTGATGAAAATGGTTAAAGGCGCGATATTTTCTGATTTTTTTCACATGATTCTCGGTTCTGTTGAAAAGGCTTGAAATGTCATATGCGATGGGCTTTTTCGCAAGTTCTGGAACGGGCATATTACTGACTAGCATGTTTATTAAGGAGAGTTCTTCAATTAACCTCTGATTAGTAACAGTGGTAGCTGGGGACGGTCTGTTTTTATGTTCAATATGTTGGGATATCTTAAATCAAGAAAAATTAAGATTTGTTTTTCAATTGACCTGGGTTTATAGTCTTCAGAAAATGCATCGAAGTAAACAGCCATTTGAATTCTTCGAAATTTTTTTAGGGAATTTTATCATCTCCCTGTTTTTTGATAGCATCTCTTTCTATCGGAGCTTATCAAGTCTAATCAAAAGTGTTCATTAATTAAAGCTCTCTTATCATTCATCCTTCAAATTTTAAATACAACTGACTGAGTCGATTCCATAGAAAAAACAAGTTTATATAGTAGTTTCCATATAATGCCCTCCTATTCAACATCGTTACCAGTTTCTTCAGCTAGGCTTCAAGCTTTGATTTATTCTTTGACTGCCCACAAATGCCCTGGTATGACTGAGGGTGGGTAGAGTTATCCCTTTCGAAATGCTATCACATGGCCAGAGAAGTCCTACTCACTGCCTTCTCGCAGCGGGGGTGTTGTTTTCAACATTGAGAGGACGGAAAGCGAATGTCTGGCGCTTTAACTGGGTTGGTGGACACGGAGGGTCCACCTAGGGTCGTTGGAAAATTCTAATTTTAAACCAATAGTGTACACGGGTTCCGGGGCCCTGAAGGAACACATGGCGTATGAATCTATTGTTCGTCAGCGGCTACATTGGGGCTGCATCTCCTGACGTCGCTCCACTACCTTCTGGATCAAACCAGGCGTTGCCACCTAAGAAAACCACCTGTTTTGGTCTAGGCACCCGTGCAGTATCACATCCCACATATGTATTCGGTGCCCCTTTATACCAATATTTATGTGTTCAAATAAATAAATAAATATACTTCGTTTGACAACGCTTCTCAACAATTTCTAAAATCTAAGAGAATATTAGCTCTGACCTTATTTTGCAGCCAATATTTTCTATTGTGTTCGACTTACATGTTAAGGTTAAACCAACGATAGCAGTTGAAATCCCAAAGAACCTACCAAACAAACACCTAACTTTTTTCGACTGGTATCATAGTCAAATTAGATGCAATGACGTTTTTCACATGATCAGATTTGTAAAACTTCGTTATTTCCTTCTACACTTACAAAATATCATAGATACTAGGTCACATTTTTAGTGATGTGAAGTCAGAAGACCTGAGTTTAGGGTGAACATGGCAGTCAATCAAGCGTCGAGTCTTATACTAGTTCATCAGTTCAGTTTGCCACTTTTTGTTAACTCCAAGGGATGAAAATGTTTCTAAGATAAAAGATGAGAGTTGATAAGGAGAAACATTTGAAAGATGTAAACTGGTTGCAATTCTAAACAAAATATGTGCATCGGAAATGTTATGATGGATTCGAATCCGAATTCTCCAGTTGAATCTTAAGGTTTCACCTACTTCATCTATAAAGCCTACAAAAATTAAACCAACAATATTTGATTATATGAACAGACGTAAATATACCCAACTACTCAGTCGCTTTATGAACATGCATGTACATCATCCAACAACACGCGTCTTTGTAAGTAGCTTAATTAACACTATTAGACCTAACTATTTATCGCAGTTCGACCGAGTCTGTCCAAAACCTCGCACTTATAATTAACGTTGCTTAATCAACGATATCATACTAATCTAATGTTTCAAAGTAACCCGATTTCATCTATATCTAAATATCAGCATACTGTGGTTGGTAAATCTGATCAAATATGCTCTAGGGTTACAAGTTTTGATAATTTAAGCAACTAATATGGTTATCTTAATTCATAGGTGTTCTCTTAACTTTTGCATACTACGCTATCGTGTTCTATATTCCGTTTACTTTATTTGACCTAGTCTGACTACTGTGCTCTACTGTTTTCTCATGTTAACTTAGCGGTGGAAAACACTAAATATGCTGAGTCCTGAGGTATATTCAACGTTGTACTTTATTATTCAACTGCTCATTGTTAATTCTCGTTCATAAACTCCAAGGATCAACAAAGATACTCCCAGTATTCCCCTGTACGTGAGTGGAAATGTCTCCATTCAGCATTTGAGCTCTTGTTCATCAGGAATATACGAAGAGTGTTAAACTTCATCATCCTGCTCAATAGAGCACATTTCTCATCTATATCTAAATATAATTTTCAATTTATTCAAATACTATGTTAAGTACCTAGCTATACGTATCTTGATTTTGTATAAATCAGAGGGATTCTTGGAAGTCTTACCAATCACCTGCCAAAATATATATCATGTCTGTTCCTCTGTTTCTAATCCTAACCGTCTGATTTCAGACACACAATCTTATACTATTATTTTTTGTTCAAAGGATTTATACCAAGGCTATATACGCGTCTGCCAGGGAAGTCCTACTCACTGCCTTCTCGTGGCAGGGGTGTTGTTTACAAAAATGAGGGGACGAAAAGCGAATGTCCGGCGCTTTAACCGGATTCCAAACTGATGGTGCACATGGACTCCAGTATCCTGCGGGAACAAATGGCATATGAACCAATCGTTGGTCACCGGCTTCCATGGGACTGCATCTCCTTACGATGCTCCACTGCCTTGTGGGTTAGACCTTTAGGTCAAAGGCTCGGGGTGTGACCCCCTAAGATAACCACCTGCTTCGGTCTGGGCACCCGGGCAGTATCACAGCCCTCACACATCGAATGAGACTTGTGTGGCGCATATGTATTTGGTGCCTCCTTGTACCAATATCTATGTGTTAAAATAAATAATAAATAAAATCAAGCCACTGAAACATTGTTGAGTAAAATTAAACCAGTTAAGCCATTTATTATTCTAACTGACTTAAAATATTATGCTCTAACTTTGAAGTTCTTTTTACTGTAGATCATTCTTTTCCGGGAGTGAGAAAAAAGAAACTGAGAAAACAAATAAGTAGTATTGAGATTATTGCTTACATTCTGTCGTAAGGGAAAAGATGATTAGTTCAAAACAACCTGACAATACTTCACATAAAAGCATAAAGCGCAGACGAATCATTGTCGAAAGTGATGATTCATTAACAGAAATGCCCAATAAAAGTAACTAATTTTTTTGTGTCTAAGTAACATTAGGTAGTGAATATGTTCATGTATGTCAATTGGAGTATAAAATTGAATAACATTTTAGAACGATATTAATTTTGAAGAAAGTGATGCAGAAATCCCTTCTAAATTACCTGATTTAGTACATCAACCAATAAGTGTATGTTTCTCCTCAAAATTTGTCATAACCTAAGAATCCTACAAGTGAGGATAAATTGTTACAGAATGTGACTGATACAAGAACTAAAGACAAATTCAAGGACTTAAGTGAGTCTAATTTAGTCCGTTTTCAGTGTGCGAAAATTGAAGCAGGCAATATTCTAAGCAGATCAAATGTTAATGAAAAGTCGTCACGGAGTCCTGACAAACTAGTTACCCGGTATGAATTGTCAATAATGTTATTTCTTTAGTTACGACCCCAGCAAAACGGATTATCACCCTATCCATGATTGCAACTGGCGAGAAGGTGAAAGGTTGGTGACTACTTGAAAATAACAATTTCTAGTGTCCCTTATTTGTCATTGGCGAGAACATTTGAGTGTATTGAGGCCACATCTGGCAGGTAACATAAATTTAAATTGTATTGGTTTTAGAATAAAAATAACAGAAATGCTGTGCAATTTTTTTCGCTCAGTCGGTTTGTTGTCTTCATTTGATTTGACAAGCTGCGTTTACCTATGCCTCAACCAACTGGGACCCGCATATGAAGGGATGGAACTAGGCGTGGGGGAGACAGTCCTATTAAAGGCTTTGGCCGCAACTACAGGTAATTCCGCATTTCTTTAACTTTTTCTGATGTCTACTAACATACGACTAAAAGCCAAAATATCTTCTAGTAGTTGGTAATGTGTATCAAAATAAGTTCGAAATTCAATAGAAAATGTATCTGACAAAAAATTATACACCGAGTGTATTTTTACTCGCTTTTGTTAGTAATTCAAATAGTTAAAACTTCTAAAGGACTTTGATAAACATGTGAATAACTTGTCTTCCAAGAGGCAATAAACTTGGTTTTTGCAGATGATTACAGTTTTTACCATATTGAAGGAGTGAAAAATATTCACATGGCTCATTATTCATGTCCAAGTTGTTGAAGAGATAGCTAAGTGATTAAAGCACTCACCTTTCAATAAGTAAGTTATTGGTTCGAACTCCACTCCAGATATTTCATTTTGAATCCCTGGATAGTGTCAATATCCCTTACAGAAACAGTGCGTAAGATTGTAGTTGGTAGTTAAGTTGAATTATCATCTATTTAGTCTTAAAACCACTTAGTATGTGATGGCTGGAGGTAGTTCTTAAGTATTTAAACCTAACTGAATTAAGTACTTTAGAACCGGTCCCTAGACTACCAAGCTGTACTTCAGTAATGCTTGTTTTCCACACGCTTCTCTAAAAATGCAATAACGTCAATTTTCCTGAGCAGTAGCTTGGTGTTTGAGGCATTTGACTTTCGGTTCAAAGTCCCAGACTCGGACTCCATTACATTTTCTTAAGCTTAGGCAACCGAGTAATATTATTAGCCGTCACAGCGTGACTTATACTCAAGTACCTGGCTAATGGTTTTATTTAATTTTACTGATTTTAATGTAAGGTAGTCTACTTAATAAACAACTATTGTCTTGATAAAAATAATATTTTAAATCATTCAAAGTCATATGAGTGAAAGCTAGTTAATTTCGTTAACAGAAATGTCAAAGTTGGTCTGGAATAGTAGCAAGTGTTTAAGTGATCTATATTCATCAAAATTAGTGTACGTTTGTAAAAAGATTTACTGACCGTTTCTAACTTTGTTACTTAAACTGTGATCGTTTTAATATTGGTTATTTTTACTCTTATATACATAGATTAGATATTTATTCCAGTAACATTAGGAGGAATATCATTTTCTTTAATTTGGAGTAAGATTAGGAAGAAGTCAGCTACGCTGACGTTTTTTGTCTACAAGATATACGTGGCCTAATAATATAGAAATTTACAGGTTTCGACTATACAGTTGGAGACATTTTTAACCTCCAGACTCATCTGTTTTATCTAACACACTTTAAATAATTTAATAATTTTCTTATCAATTGGGAATTTGCTAACATTTTGTGCATGATTTTTATAGGTGTTGGGATTGAACATATGCGTTCGAGTTTGAAGCAACATGGTGATCTTGGGGTTGTCGCCGAAGTAAGTTTCTAAAACAAAGTTGATCGTACCCTACTTTTTATGTAAATATCTGTAGATAAAATATTTCAGTAGTCGTAGCTGAGTGTAATAGACGTTCATTCTACAAGTATGAGGATGTAGTAAAATCAGACGACTGGCTACTGTTTTTAACACCTTACAAAATCTTTATGAATAACACCGCAGTATTTTAATGGAAATATGTTTTTATTGGTCCTATTTGGTCAATATGTTCAGTATTCCTATTTTTTTTTGTCTTAACTTGCTTATGATATATAATCCTAAAACTTCACTGTGAATGGAATTTTTTCAGACTATCAGATCACGCCAGAAAATCCTGTCAGCTCCGAAACCATTGACCATTTCTGTAGTATTTTCTAAACTGAAAGATATTGCTTCAATGTCTGGAAATTCAGTAAGTTATTATATTCTCTTTTGAGAATGATTGGTGTGTTAATTAGCCATTTATTCTATGAAGTACATTTCATCTTGTTGCTTTAATCTAAACAAAAGTCCAACTTTCATTGATCATATCTAGCGAAACGAAAGTTCATTCATGGTCATTTTGTTTATATTGTCCCACTATCCATGGGAACAGACAGACTGATATTTCCTCATTAAGTCTGCCATGCAGCAATTTGTCCATCACTCTTTAAAACTTATCGCTGAAAATTTTCTAAAATATTATCAACAAGAAGTCTTCTCAAGCTTTCTATTTGTAGCCTGCTTTTTTCTCCCAATTAAACCTAATAAGTATCAGTTTGTTTTTCAAAGATTTCTTAAAATTCCAGAGTTTGGTAAATTAATTTCATCATGGCTGAGAAGTTTGTCAGTTTTTTACTTAATGTTAGCCTCCTGTTTATGAGCTCCATATATATTCCATCTTTTCAGCTCATAAGTAATTAGAATTTTTGAGCCCAGCTCCATTTCAGTCCTAAATCCTATAGATGGACGCCAATCAGGAAAAGGTATGACAGTTTCTTTTGTATTGAAGGGGAATTTACATATGGTTGACGTGTTGATAGTTTACCAGTCGTTGCTTTTAGACTTATCTCCATCACTTTGCTAGCAGAATGGAGTCATATAAGGACCCCATATCCGTGTCATCTTGTTTGTATCAGTATAATAAGTGAATAGCAGAATCTCTTACATTAGTTATGTCCATAAATAAACATTTGTGCAAATCAAGGTACTGCATAATGCCCATTACCATAACTTTGGTTTGTGACATTATCTAGCTTTACCTACTAATTACCAGTCGATGGAATATTGACTTCTCAGAGTAAGTTTTATTCGTAATTGTATCCATTTTATGCTCAGCGAATTTAAACGTTTATTACTAATAGCTTTATTTCTAGTTTCTGTACTATTTACGCTGTTTATATTTTAGAAATTGATTAAACCGCTTTGTACTTGTTTTACTCGTAGTTTCCTTTCAGATTAATTCATCAGATAGATTAAACGCTACAACTGGCACGTTTGTCAGTAGGAGAATTTAAACCTACTTGTACCTGTGTATTAGTCTGAATATTACTAAGGATTATTATCACTTATCTGTTTGCGATTTTCTACCGTAATTTTAACTAGGTGTTTGCATAAAATTTCAGTTGATTAGTAACCAGTTATAAAACCCTAACTTACCACAAGATTCAATTTTTCATATGACGCATATACAACAAACTACTTGAATCTTTACGCATCTAATTTTTTTCATGCTGTTCTGCGTCAGTTCTTTGATTTTATTAAAGTGTGTTGGAACAGTAAACTTCTTTTCTCATTCTGATAGTCAAATCGACTTCGTCAACTTTCTCATTCGCTTATTAGGCTCAAAACAAAAAAGTGGAAATTATTCGCTCGCTTCTAGTGGCTTGTCGAGAATCTGAAACTAAATATATTATACGTAGTTTATCAGGAAAATTGCGTATTGGCTTAGCTGAACAAACGGTGCTCACAGCTCTTGGTCAGGCTGTGGCTATGACGCCATTTCATTTTAAAGTCGGTGATAAAAGCACGCGAGTAGTTAATGCTTCTAATGGTATGTCTAATGAGCACTGGAAAGTTACAATGGATACTGCAGTTGCAAATGTTAAAAGGGCGTATTGGTAAGTTATTTATTAAGTATCTTTCACTTTATTTGGCATCCTGATTTTACAACCAGGTACCGGTTGATTATCTCACGTCTTAAATAAACGCTGGTTATCTGTGACTCCTTGTAGTAGGGTTTGAACCTTATCTTCAATGTAAAGTTCTTTATATTGTGTTGCTACAGCATATTATAACAAATGTTCTGCGGTTGTGATCGAAAGAGAGATATTATCAATACAGAACCTTGAACCTATGTGTATTGTCCAAAATTACCGTACCTGATCATCACGATAAGATTTAAATAACAAGAGTAATCGAAGTAATGTAGTAGCAATGATAAAAAGAAAGACTAAGCCGTGGGAATATGATTTGAAAAGTCAGTGATAAGGTATGTATGAAGGGTTATAGGGATTCAAGAGTGAGAAACTAAAGGATAAGTATATCTAAGTAATTGTGAACAGTTCTAAGCCATGCCATCCAGTTTTCAACGACTGATCGAGGTTATCGAGTAGACCCTAACCAGGTGGTCTGTTTCTACCGAAATGACTTAGTTCAATTGTTAATGACTTCATGAACTAGTAACACATTTTGGTTTGATCACTCCTAGCTTCCATCTATTTCTACACTAGTAAGCAACGCTCGTCGAAATAGGGGATGATTGGGTATTAATAACATTTTTCTAACTACTCCAGCTGATGAAGATCCACTACCTCATCAACCAATTTGCCATCTTTGCCAATCACCCTATGCATTTATGAATAGATAATTCGAAATTTGTTTCTATGTGTGTTTAAAATCCATGAAGTAAGCATTACCAATGTATGATGAATTGTTTATCCATGTTCAGTCATATTTTTGTCTATTCCCTTTAAGAATTAAAAAAAACGTGAGTGAGAATTAACTCAACTACCATCAACTGATTACAGAATGTCAACATCAAAATTCAAATAAAACTTGAGATTTTTTGATACTAGCTAGGAGCACTATTAACCATAAAAGCTTCATTCTCTTTAGGTTAAATGAATCTAGGTTTGAATAGACGTTGCTGTTCATACTCCCTCAGTTGGATTCAGAAATATTATGAACTATATGATTTCCTTTATTCTACCTATTTCTCATCTCATCTAGCGTTTGTCCAGACTACAGCCGTCTTATAAAAGCTCTTTTAACAAGTAGTCATGAATCCCTGGATCAAATATGCACAATCACTCCAGGTATTCCTCTAAAACCAATGTTAGCTTCTCCTACACATGGAATATACGAAATTTTAAAGAGGTTTGAAGAATGTGATTTCACTTGTGAATATAAATATGATGGTGAAAGGGCTCAAGTAGGTTGATATCGTGAAATACAAATAAGTTTTTCTCTTTACAAAAGTTAACTTGCGTATTTGTGTCATTATTCTCGTTGGGACGTATTGGTTAAAGAGGTGTTGGTATACTGGTGTAAAATCGTAATAATAATAATTTATTAACATTGATTCTGGTTTGGCCATTACAGAATACACTATCTATGCAGTCCACATTAGCAGATATTTATTACTACGTGTTTAAATCAGTCGATTTCATAGTTGTAAGATTGAGATGAAAGTACAGTTCAACTCGTGTTCATATTGCTTACAGTTCCACAGGTGAAGGGTCAATTTTAGAACGAATTTGTTCTGAGCACTATATGTACACAGTTTCATTATCAAAACACCGATTGTTTTAGTTACTAACAGTCCATCCCCATTCGTTTCCTCCAAAAAATATCGAGTGATTTCCCCCGACTTTTATGAATTATGTGAAAGGGAACTACATCAGGGTCGTCACTGACTTATATTGTAAACTATGTGTAATTACATTTCATGACACTAAGTTCAGCGATTTTTTGGACTCGAGTCGAGGAATTGTGATGAACCAACAAATGCCACTTGTACACAGTGTCCTTTCATACCACTGCCTCATGTCATAAACTGACCATCTCTCCGCTTTTTTCAACTCAGAACAGGAAAATAATGCACTCCATAGAAGTTACTAGGGTTGTATTAGTAAAACGTTCAAGCCACTAAAACCATTGTTTTAACATGATAACACTAATTGCACGTTGGTAGGGTGATAGATAGTCTGTACTGTCCCTTGTGAAACTGTCTATCGTCCAGAACGTCGTTAAAGGTTATTACTTGTCCCATCGGCTCGACAGACTGTCCTGCTCGCACCAGACTTCCCAATACCAGTGTTTTAAGTGAGTCGAATTAGCTTCCAGCAACTGCTGTTTCCAACTCGATATCACTGTCCGACCATCAGGTTTCTCGGTCGTTACCCAAAATTCCTTCACACAGGACTTTACATGTAACTTCATACTGGCGGTTCATCGGACTAAATTATCGTGCGCCGAGTGGTTGTAGAGAGCTTTCAGATACCCAGTGCTTATAAACTGGACGTTTTGCGAAGGCACTGGTTACATGACCTGCCGTTTTGACGGCTTCATGCAGACACAAACAACGCTCATTTACATTTTTGTGAACTGGTAGCTAACAGCACATAAACAACAGTTGATAAGGATCCAATCGATTAGTCCCGCCTCTGCTCTGATGCTTAGCGCACAATCACTGCCAGCCAAACCGATGTCACAATCTCTGAAAAACTACATGTGAAACAGGCTTTTCGGATCGAGAGATACAATGCAAATGTCCAGAAATCGGACAGAGTTTTGAATAAGGTAAACATCGGTGTTAAGACTTGACTGTTTTGTTTGTAGATTTATCAAAACATAGTAGTCTAGTTATGATTTTCTTCTGCTTCTGTCCAATAACTATGAGTTCAATAAACGCAGTTACTAAATATGCTAAAAAGTATTTGTTTATAAGATATTCTTACCGTCTAAAACTATCAATCAAAGCACCAGGAAGACTATAAAACTTGTGTATTCATGTTGATGAAATCTAAGACTATAGAGCATCATGAATAATAAATCACAGTGTATGGATAGCTAAGACATTTATGGTACAGAACTGAGTGACAGGTTTATGATTAGTTTGATGTAATTTATGGACTGCAAAAGATATATCAGCAACTGATAAATCAAAGAATCTTATAATCAAAACAGTCTAAAAATACTATAAACCAATATCTTGATAAATACGCATTATATATATATATATATACTCATTTAATTCTCGGAGAACATCTTTAGAATCTTCCCTAATTCTAAAAGCTTATGTTCATCGTCGAAATAAAATTACGGCTTTTAAAAATTTATTTCAGATTCATATTCTCCCTTCAGGTGCCAGTCACGTGTATTCACGTAATCAAGAAGATAATACGACAAAATATCCTGATATCGTAAATAATCTGATGTCTAGGGTTCTGCCAGAGTCTAAACTAACGCCTCATGCAATTGAGCTACTCAGTGAAATTGTTAAAGATAATAAAAGACAAGTTCAATCAAATGGTATAATTGGAAACAAACTGGAGAGTTGTATTATCGACTCGGAAGTTGTAGCTTGGGATCGTTTAGCTGGACATATTTTACCATTCCAAGTTCTATCAACGCGAAAGCGTAAAGTAAGTAAAACTCAGTAAATATCTTTAATTACCTTAATTTCATCAGTTTACTATTTCCACTGTATGAAAGATTACTGTGTATGCTCACTCATTTATGAGTAACCGAATATCCAACTAAGTATATCTTTATGAAATTTTGTCAATATAGATAAAAGATCACCTTTGTTACAGTTTCTCTTATTGCTTAGTATTCTTGGACACTACTTCACTCGAAAAGTCTCAAGTCAGAACACGATTGAATAGGAACGTGATTATATTCCAATTGAAAGAGTTGTATGGAAGTAGGAATCACAATAAAAAAGAAGTTAGTAATTTATAATTTATACACAAGAAGATTCTAGAGTCTCCTCCAGGTCTCTACTAGCGCTGATTGGTTAAGAAATGGTCAGTCAGCCTACCGCAACACAATCTTGCACGGGGCATGTTTTGATCTAATTTATATTCCGTTAACAACCTTCAAGTCTTTAATCCATAATAAAATATTTATACTCAATAATTTTGTTAAATAAAATCTGGTTGATGCAGTGATTAAATGAACCAGATACATTTTTTACAGTCACTTGTACAATGGATATGTTATTGACTAAGATCTGCAAAAGGCTATCCACTTTGATTTTTATAACATTATCATTGACGTTAAGGGTCACACGTTTACGCTGACACTTGAAATCGACTCTTGATATGGTGTAGAATTTATTTGTTTGCTGGCTCGGTATCAAAGGGGCGCGTTTGACTTCTGAGTGAACGTTCTAAAGGTGTGTGTAATCTATCTAAACAACTGTTTACTTAAAATTGTTTGTATTTATTCGTTTTAAAAATGAATGAATCCTAAACGTGCCACGTTTCGCAGTAACTTGTGAAAGGATAACTACGAAAACTGAACAATTGTCGTTCATCAAATAAAGCATGAAGACAGACATTACATATAGACCTCAAATATTCGATAATAATTTTTCTGGGTAAGGCTAGTAAGAGCGCTAGCACTCACTACTATCTATATATAGTTATAAACGTAGGCTTTTGCATTTTATGATTGGCTAAAACTGTGTCACATTTCCCCTTAGCATGTTTTGCATATATACTACCAGGAAATATACATTCCGTTTTAATGGCTTTTAGTGAATCTAATATTGGTTTGTTGTTTGCTTGTTAGTTTATTGCAAAAAGGGCAAATTAAACATTTTACTAATGTTACGGAAATAAGTGGTTATAGTATACCCCATTTCCATCCGTTACTGCATTCCTGGTGATAGACTTGGACTGAATCAATGTTCTTCGGAATATGATTTTCATATTCACTATATGCGTGTCACTCCGCATATATAGACTTTAGTATGTTACCATTCATTTAAATAACTACTATTTTATGATTCTCTGTTCCTTGAAGAAATTCGATAGCTTTTGTGTCCTTTTAGGAGTAGGGTACCCTCTAGGAAGACTTATGTAGGTAGTTATTTACGACTTCACCTTGTTTGTCTCTGTTGAAAAAGAGCATAAGTTATTGTCGGCTAAGATTTATCTATATTAACTCATCTACACTAGGTGTGTGGTTTCCGGGTTTTCAGAAAACAATCTGTCACGAGCCACAAAAATTCCAGTGCTTGATCAAATGAAATAACAGGCTTCAGAAATACACCATGTGTATCAAAGAATAAACATTTTTGGTAGTTTGGATAGTTCCCAAGTGATACAAAACTGATTAGAATAAAATGTCCATATACAGTTAAGAACATATTCTTTGCGTTTGATTCTTGATATGTAAACGTTTGAGACACCATGGAGTTGCAAAGCTTCCAACGTCTTTGAAGATCAAGGTGTAATCGGATTACAAGATGGGTAGATTATAGGAGCACAATCAAAAGTCACTATGTTCATTGTGCGCACAATTTCAAGATGATAATGTTTCGAATTTAACTGACTAGTCTAGCCGTTCATAGGGTTTTTTATGGACTGATCCGATGCTCCCTATATTTTCATGTTGATTATAATTTTTATGGTCACTCGGTGTTAGAAATAGGATGAAACCTCTGTGTTGTTTTAATTTGAATGAAAATTAATAATTTTATGTTGTTGTTTTAATTTGAATGAAAATTAATAATTTTATGTTGCCAACAAGAAATTAAGGATCTCAAACATATTTTTTTCGTATTTTCTTCATTTTTATAGGATGTAGATGAATCTACATTGAAAGTACAAATATGCATTTATGTATTCGATATACTTTTTATAAATGGTGTATCTTTAATTGAACAGCCATTACGCATACGTCGAGAAATACTTCGGTAAGTCTGCACTTGTTTTATCGCATACACTGCACAAATATTGAATCTTGAGGTTGTCAATTCCATTTTATTATCGCATCGCTTTTCATGCACTATCATTTTGATCTAGATTTAATCAGCTTTAATTCAGACACATATAAAACAATTATTTTAGCCTGTCCTTGAAAGATTTGATTTTCTTTTAAAAAGCTAAAACGATTTAACTTTTGAACAAACTACATTTAGCGTAAGCTCGATTAGGTAGCTGGAACATTATAGTGGGTCTAGATTAGTCATTGACTAATGATTTTTATTCTAATACTACATTATTCATAATATGTAATGCTCTATACTTGAATGTTATCTCACAGTAAAGTGCCACTAAAAAAATAAACGAATGGTTTTTATTGAAGTGTTCACAAATTGAGTTTCGCCTAATATAACATGATAACTTATAAGTCTTTTACCGGAACTCTCGATCCGATTTGCTAGCCGTTTCTAATAACTCCAGGCTAAATTTACGCGGCAGCCTGAATATGAGAGAAAAGATACGAAGGCCGGTGATAAGAAATTATTTAACTCCCAAAATAAATCAAAATGATTTAAAAATACACTACACTTTATATGATTTATTTACAGTTGGATTAACAGACAGATTTGTATAAATTAAACTGAGTTGTATTTAACGATAATAATTCAGTAACTTGCTGTGTAAATATATATCATATTATGCAATTAAGCATCTGTAATTCTTCTTAAAATGTGATGAATCCATATCACACACGATTGGAAAAAAATTATTCCCACTTCAACTGATTGAGCTATTACTCGCCATATTTTGGTGTATGCTAATTATCTTGATAGATAAAAGTAGTATGTAGTACCAATCGGAAGCAGAATGCATACCAGCAGAAGATGGAGTAGAAGTGATCAGAAATCATGAAGCACGCAAAGAATAACTGATGGAAGATGTACAAATTATGTATTTGATGTATGGTCTTCATATTTTACGAAAGTACTCTGTAATCTTACATTAATCAAAAGATTGGACTTTTCTATCTGACTGTTTCTTCACGAAAATATTACTAACTAATAACACTTTTTCAAAAAGTATTAATTCCATTGACTGAATGTTCTTTTCTTCTGTGAAGACGAAATGTTTGAATAAAAACTTACGTTTTGCATTACTTTCTACTGTCTACTTGGAAAAAGTACATTCAATGGTAGATTCACTAAAGTTGTATTAGGATGTGAAGTATTTTCTGTTATCAGTTTTCTGCAACTATCTTTTTTAATTTAGAGAAGTATTTCCGCGCATTTCTGGAGAGTTCATGATGGCAACCTCTCTTGATTCATCTGATACAGATGAGATCGCGACTTTTCTTGACGAAGCCATCAAAGGTAAATCATTTTCTCTGATTAACAAGTAAATCTAACAATTTCTAAACCACAAATCACAAAAACCTTTGTAAGCAAGTATATATAAGTAATAACTTATTATTTTCAAGCTATTCACTCTTATCCGGAATTTATTAGCCAACAATTCGATAACCTCCCTGGTTGTCACGTGAAACTACTCGACATAATTACCTTTCAACTTTTATACCAACTAGTCAATACGTAATTATAACTGTCAGTATAATATCCGAAGCACCTTTGGTTTGTTATCACCTCCAGCAATTATCTCATGGAGAACGACTCAAAATATTATCTTTCGATTGTATTATTAGAACTTTTAGAGTTACGGCTCATTTGTTTCGGCATTTTCAAGGTTCATTTCTCCCTTTATATGTCCAGGCTTATGGGGTTGGATAATTTAGGCCTTTGTTCAACGGTCATCGCAGGTACCATAGACTTTACTGGATCGGTTTACTCTATACAGAGTCGGTTAGAAGATCAATATGCATAAATAAGTGGCAGCAGTTTTATCGATCACATAAGATTAACAGCACATTCACAAACACCTTATAAAGTACACATTTGACGAAGGATAACAAAATCATCATATTTAAAACACTTGTTTAACATCTGTACCAAATAAATTAAAATTAATTACCGTATTTAAATTCATCTAGGTAATTGTGAAGGGTTAATGATTAAAACACTGGATCATAATTCTACCTACGAAATCGCTAAAAGATCCCATAGCTGGTTAAAATTGAAAAAAGACTATCTAGAAGGTGTTGGTGATACATTGGATTTAGTGGTGATAGGTGGATTTCATGGAACTGGTAAACGTGCTGGTCGTTACGGTGGTTACTTGCTGGCATGCTATGACCCAGATACAGAAGAATACCAGACAATATGCAAAGTAAGTGATCTATTGTATTATTCAGTTCTGAGTCACGTATGGGAGACTTCTAATCTACTAAGTTGCACCACCTTCAGGATATGAATTTCAAGATTAATGAATGGCTCACTCTCGGTTATTTCTTCCACAGATTGGTACAGGAATGAAAGATGATGAATTGGCTTCATTTTCGGAGTTTTTCAAGAACCATGTAACTGACAAAGCAAAACCTTATTATCAATACACAATTAGTTTAATTCCAGACCAATGGTTTGAGCCTGTTCAAGTTTGGGAAGTAAAGGCAGCCGATTTGAGTATATCACCTGGACACAAAGCTGCTGCTGGTTTAGTAAGTTCTTTCCATAGTTCATAGGTATTGTAATCTTTATCTTAATTAAAAAGTCACTACGTGTCACACTTGCATATTTAAGACCATCAAGTTGAGTAGTGATGTGATGAAGCAATAAGTTTTACAGTAGTATCTCCATTATCAGTAAAATTGTTTGTCGAATAAATAATCTCTAAACTTATACATGGCATTGAACATGCACTTGGCGTTTGTTATCAGTTTTTGGTTATCTCCAAAATATTAGGAACCAATATTATTCCAACAGATACTAGCTAAACTAAGGATCGTCAATGGCTTTACTTGGTCTATGCATTTAATAGTCTATAAAACAGTTGTAAACCGAAATATCTGGTATTACAAAGTTGACAGATTAGTAACATGCTGTCGGAGAAAAACTTTACACTAAGAATGCAGATAAAAATTGTCTGCAGTTACGGTTTATTCTTTGATTTACTTTAGAGATTTAACACAAAGTTACATGCAGGGTAAATTATGCCTAGTGCATTAAACTTGTTGCGTAATATCACTGAATTCTAAGAAGACGCGGACGGCCTTATTGTGACACGTTTAGCATTCAAAGTTTATCCACATGGCTATTAACAGGTATATTCATATTTGAAATTAGATGTATAAGGAATATGATCATAATCAATGTTTTTCAATACAAGAGCCTATTCCCATGTTTCTTCCCAATGTTAGTCTTATTATGTTATCGTAGTACAAGGTATAATATAGATTTCGTGCATTATATCTGTAAAATAGTTTATTGAGTTTTTCTTTTTTGAACTACATATAATCGATGTATATACTATCTGCTCGAAGTGATGAGGCTAATTAGTTTGTTTAATGTACACGCTCTCCAGGCGGATCCACAAAAAGGTATTTCACTGAGATTCCCGAGGTTCGTTCGGATTCGAGATGACAAGAAGCCTGAAGACGCGACAACAGCCCGACAAGTAATTTTTCTTTTGTTAACTAGTCTTCTTTTTGGGTTTTGAAGATGAATGACACAGTGACAGTGTATTTTAGTGTCATACTATTTGTAGTTATTGTAAAGGTCTTACGAATAACAAGTAACGACCTGTTTACCGACTTGTTTTGCATTTCTGACGAGTCGAAAATCCAATCAAAATATGCATCTTCAGTCTTCGTATTCGAAAATACACATTCAGTCGCTTCAGAATCTCTAGATTCTTAAAGCGTAAAAACACATGGGCTTACTATGTTAATCAATTAAGAAACTATTTGGTCTCTATGTACGAAAAACTGAATACTTACATGATGCAAAACATTTCGAGTAAATTACGAATTACAACTAAATTATAAAGCAAACAATATAAACTCAAAGTAATGGTAATATGGATTTACACAGTTAAACTGTAAAGTAAGATTACTGGTTCCAAATTTCAAATTTATGACAGTACTACAACGATTTCCCTCAATTCCTTCAAAGAGATAACAAAACTGGTAATCAGCTCCGACGCTAACAATAGACAATACGTTTGCTGTGTTAAGATAACTGATCAATAAAGGATTGCTTTGTTGTGTGGACAAAAACTAGACAGTTGTCTTCTATTACCTACCATGTTTGTATAAGTACCTTAATAAACACCTACATTTACCCACCTTTACATTTGTATTCCTTGTCGTTCATATTTCATTTAATTACCTCCAGGTTTATGAACTTTATCAAAGTCAAGAGCAGATAAAGAATCAGCATGGCAATATACAAACAGGCAACAATGATGATGAAGATATGTATTGAATTCATATTCTTTTTTATAAACACAGGCACCACCTTATATAACATTAGTTGTAAAATATTTTATATAAAAATGATAAATTAAAATATAAAATACATCTATTTGTGAACCCATCACAAACAGCTTCAGTTTTAAGTTTAGTTCAAATTACAGTTCGTGCACATTGAGAGTCATAGGAGTTTGGGAAGCGATCGTAATCGTTCTAAATCGAGAATTGGACTGTTTATAACGTTGGGATCATAATCGAAAATGTGTGAGTATTCCGATACTGTTAAAATTGGTCGTATAGAAGTATCTTTTTCTAAAGAACAATCAGACAAGGTAGACAGATAATTAGTGTCAGGGTTGCATATTTCAGTATGTTGTGTCATTTGTAATTTATCTAAACCCAACTCATTCATTATATTTGGGAGCGACTCTCCACTTGTAAGGTCACCGCGTATATCAGGTGATTTTGGATCCATAGACACAAACGGAATGGAAGATGATGGGCCACTCGATGGAGCACATACAGAATCATCCCTTTGAGCCTTAAAGCAAGTATAGTTATGTAATGCATTTTTGTGGTTAGCGGTTGGAGTACTATTTATTACTGGCGCGGTACTTTGTTTACATTTGTCATCTCCATGACATTCAATTATACCATGTCGCTTCATATAATCCAGCGTCGCTAAGCTGTAGTCGATTACGATAGAATTATCTGTATCCACTGTTCCACTACCAACAGCTTTGTTACCCAAATATTTATTTACTAAAGAAGATAAGTAAATACTTTGATCGGTATCGCCTGCACATCCACTATTAAGAAAGTTTTCGCTTCTCTTTTTCACACTAACTAAATGTATATCTTGAATAGATTCTGGAACAGCTAATTTCTGGTTCACATTGAGCTGGTTTGTTGAATGACTGGGATCAACATATGTATGGGTGTCAGTTCTAAAAAAAGATAATGAAAATATAGTATCAAAAAGAATAGTTAGGAATATATTTTACAAAGGTTAGCAAACGACTGGTGTGTATTTACATTTGACCCACTGTACTAACTGACAGTCATTTCCACTTGTGTTCCATTGGGTTTTTAACACGGAACAGGACCAATGATGCACCAACTTATGGTAATAAAGTAAAAACGTAGAATTGAGGAACAACATAGGGTTTAATAACTCGTTTGCTGTTTGATAAATGGACGACTTAGCAACACAAACTATCTGCTGAACTTTCAATAAAAATTACGTCCGTATTCATATAGTTTTCCACGAATCTTTTCTTTTGCGAGTCGCTTACTTATTAGTCAAATTGTTGCACAACCTTTGCAGCAACTGGAATTTTCATTTCACATGTAATATCAGTATCCCTTCCTTTCTGAACTATCTATATCAATTGTACTGCGCATCGTTTTCAACGACAAACGTATTTTCTTTAGTTTTTTGTATCTTCGGATCTTTAGTTGTAAAGAAGCGATAAAAATGAAACAAACATTTCACTGATTGCTTTGATGGCGAATTTAGTTGAGGACTCTGGCATGATACAGGACCCTTATATGTTAAATAAGGAGATAGTCAGTTCTTGGAAAAAAGTGAAGGTCTAGTGCATTTAATAATAGATCTGACTTTTGTTTGTCAAATAACGTCTACTATTATCTGGTGCTTACAGCTTCTTACCCAGATAACTGTGCCACAGCAGAGAAGTGCTACGAGTGGTTGTTGCTACCATCGTCTAATTTCAGTTTACGTATTAGTTATTATAATACTGCATTAATTTTCTTCAAATGTGAAGGAATACTTCGGAAAATAACTTACCTTTTATAATTACCATTAGTTAATGCAGTATCATTGACCTTGGTAGCCGATGACGAGGAATTATCACTTTTCTTATTTAGATCAGACTGAAACCAATTTGAAACTCTTCGATTGAAATTTTCAGGATTTTTATCACTATTTACACGATAGTTGACACAATCGTCTTTTTCGTGAAAAACAATAGGAATAGAATTTGATGTACGCAATTCTTGATTGAAAAAGATTTTCGTAATATTATTGCTATCTGGATGAGGTGCGGAAGCTGCAGAATCACATCTCATTCTATTATTCAAAACTTGTTGTATATTTGCCTGCCATGTAAAATACAAAGTATTGATCGGTGATTAGTGCAAACGAAATCCTGGTGAAAAGTTGACCCAAAATTTAACATACCAGCCAAACGCAATATAGAACCTGGTACGTGTGTACATTGTTTCACTTTGCACACTCCATTAGCAAACCAAGATGAGATTGTTAGGGCGAACCCCAGAGTATTAACAGTATTAAAGATAACAGGAAAGATCAACCATTGCAGATACAATTCGAGAAGATATAAATTAGTGAAATAAGATTATGTGGAATCTAGAAACTTAGGTTTTAAAGGAAGATGAAAAACTATAAACTAGTGACATAAAAAAGATTATGACGGATTCAGAAACGCAGAACTCAAGTGAAAACAAAGAGCGGATGCGCCTGCGCCATTGCGAACGATTTCGAGCCATGTGATACAAAGTCTCTAACCATTGGTTACGATAATCACACAGACCTTAACTAGATAGTCTACACCCACCTACATGGCTCAAAGCCAATCGGGCTGGTTCTGCCCATAACTTTCTTCCAAGCTACTCCTATACCAGACAACATTACCCGTCGAGGTAAGCAGACATACGTAATACATGTCCCAACCACCTCAGTTGGTTAAGATTCACCACCTTGTCAACTGATTTACCACTTTTACCTAGGGCCCTAGCCCAGGCATTGGTCACTCAGTGGTCTCAAGACACACGAGCAATGCTTCGAGGACACCTATGGTCGAATACTAGCAACCCACGAATATCCTCTATTTAATGCCAATGTTTTACATCCACAAATTAGAACGGAGTGAACTGTTAGTCTGAAAACTTTGGCTAAGGGACGGATAACTCGCCTATGCTACAAGTGATGCAAATTGACCAAAGCCAATCGAGCTTTCTGAATCCGTGTCGAGATTTCGCCAGACACCAGCCCATCGGGACTGATGGGACTCCCAGGACAAGTGAAGCGGTCGATACGCTCAACTACATCACTTCCTGTCATTAGTTCGGTCGTTGGTTCAGACCAGTGCAGAAAAAACATTTTGCATTTGGAAGGAGAAAAACGCATCCAAACTATGCTTTTGTTGTTGCTCAGGGTAGTCAGGAGACTGCATTTTTTCAGTATCTTCACTAAATGAAACTGCATCATCCGCGTACTTCAAGTCGACAGATGAATCTCTTGTTGTAAGATCGACCTCCGAAAAATCAGACGATGAGTGTTTTGTCCCTAAAAGTGTTTATGACAGCTAAATAAAAATAGGGAAAGCGGACAACTTTGATGAACACCAATTGAGGTTAGCGATTCCGATAGCGGTCCGTCATAAATTCTAACTCGACCAGTAATGCTCGAGTAGAGAGCCTGTACAAAGTTCATTTACTTCTTTGATACTCCTTCTAATGACAGACACAGAGTCGAACTCTACTTTGAAGTTAGGAAGTACGACAATAATTGGACATAAAAGGGTATATCTGTGGATATGTGGTATATACATCCGCATTCAGGTGTAAAACCAGAATGGTTTTCTCGGATTCACTCTTCATGAGCCCTAGTTAAGCGTGTCCTACCCACTTCCAGCGCTTCCTGATTTCTTCCTCCACTGGGATCTTTTTTGTTCTCTCCCACAGTTGGTTGTTGCCGATAGTGTCTGGCCAACAGATCCGAAGTATTTTGCGTAGCAACTGTTAATGAACACTTGTATTTTCTGGATGATGTCTTTCGTAGTTCTCCAGGTTTCCGCCCCATACAGTAGAACTTTCTTGACATTTGTATAGGAAATTCTTACCTTGATGTTGGTTGACAGTTGTTTTGCGTTACAGATGTTCTTCAGTTGTAGATATGCTGATCTTACTTTGCCGATCCGCGCCTTCACATCTGCATCAGATCTACCGTGTTCATCAATGATGCTGCCCAGATATGTAAAGGTTTTTACATCTTCCAAATCTTCTCCGTCAATTGTGACTGGATTGTTGCATGCTGTGTTGTAACGGAGAATCTTGCTTTTCCCTTTGTGTATATTGAGACCTACTGCTGCTGAGGCTGCTACTACACTGATCGTCTTCTCCTGCATTTGTTGTTGCGTTTGCGATAGAACAGTCAGATCATCTGCGAAGTCTAGATCGTCCAACTGCATCCTAGATGTTCACTGTATCCCATGCTTCCCCCAGATGTTGGCGTTTTCATAATCCAGTCGATCACCAGGGGAAAGAGAAAGGGTGAGAGTAAGCAACCTTGCCTGAAGCCGGTCTTTACTTCGAATGAGTCTGTCAACTGTCCTTCATGCACGATTATGCAGTTTAACCTATCAAAGAAATTCCGTATTATATTGACTATCTTCTCAGGCACACCGTAGTGTCGAAGAAGCCTCCATAGTGTTGTCCTGTCTACGCTATTAAGCGCTTTCTCGTAGTCAATGAAGTCGATGTAGAGTGATGAATTCCATTCAATTGATTGTTCCACAATGATCCGTAGTGTTTCAATTTGGTCTGTACGCGATCGATCCTTACGGAATCGAGCCTGTTGGTCTCGAAGTTGAGCATCTACGGAGTCCTTCATTCTGTTTAACAATACCCTGTCGAAGACTTTTCCTGCTATTGAGAGAAGAGTAATGCCTCTGTAGATCTCACTTGCTGAGATCGCCTTTCTTTGGTATTTTGACCAGGTGTCCCTCTTTCCAGTCTGTTGGTACTTGTTCTCCATCCCAAATCTTGCTAAAGAGAATGTGGAGTATCCTTGCAGTTACTGCTACGTCTGCTTCAAGTGCTTCTCCTGGAATTCGGAGCATTATCGGAGAGGGTATTTTAGATACTATATCGGTCAGACTGATTCCTCTGTGGTTGTTACAAGAGGATATTTGTCCTCTCTTATGGACTGGTACGACCAGCAACTGAGACCAATCAGATGGGACTACATCCAGTCCCCACATTCCAACTAAGACCTCAATCAATCTAACTGCTAGAACTGGACCACTATCCTTGAAAGTTTCCGGGATAAATTCATCTGGACCTGGTACTCTCCATTGCTTTAGATTTCCTATAACCTCAACCCCACAATTGAGAGATGTATTTCAGTTTGCCACTCGGGTTGATTGGAGATAGTAGGTAACTGAATTGTGACTGAAGGTCAGTTGAACTGTTTCTCAAAGTGTTTTGCCCATCAATCCAATCTAATGGATTGGGAGTGAGTAATGGTTCCATGTTTTTCCGAGTTAGTCTCAATAATAGTCGGATTTTTAGTACCAGTTTCCTTGATAACTCCGAATAGCTGTTTATTATTACCCATCGCCGCTACCTTTCCCATCTCTTCTGCTTTCGTTAACCACTACTGATCTTTTGTTAGTTTGATTTGTCGTCACTATCGTTCACCTAGTGTGACAGGATGAGTTTTCGAGCTCTGATCAACTTAATGGATACCATCGAAAATCCATTGGTCTTTCCTAACTTCCGATCTAAATTATTGGTAGATGTCACTGGCGTATTTACAGCTGCTTGGGTATCGTTCTCAGCTCCTTCAGGATAAACTTTCTGTACAACCGACCAGGTGCTTAACTGATTCTTCTCCGAATGCTTCTCCCATCTTTCCGTCTCTGAATCAATATCTAAGAGGTCTTCCTGCTCTGAGCTTTCTACATCCAGTAAAACCTATAGAAATGCGTGCTCTCACTAGGGCATGATTACAAATTGTATTAAAGTTTTCTTCTAACGGCATGATTTTAAATAATCAGCAAGCATCAAAAGATACCACGAACCAATCTGATATATTTAAATGATTCATTTCTTCAGAAAACTTAAATGTGTCGTTTAAACTATGGGCCACCATTCTTCTTCGGATTCGTTCTAATAATTGAGCTAACCATCGAGCCAATTTGTAATATGATGAGTTTACTATACATATTGTGAGTCTTAATGGATGTTGGATTTTTGTACTTTCAAAAGACCATATATAAATAAAAATCATGACTTTTCCCTTCAGACTGTTGTAAGTTGCGTTCTCAATGAGTTCCCAAAGATTTTTATTAACCCTGTTTTCGATTATTGCAATGACATCTTTTCTAGATTTACCGAATCGGAATCTTGATTTATCATTGTGAACATTTTATGCACATCTTTTTGATTCATTGTTACAACACTTGAATCTTTATCTGGCCATACTGCTGCTTGTCCAATTATCCAGTGCTTCTTCAGTTTCAGTTTTGCCCTGGTCGCTACCACCTGGTGATGATCTGAAGCTGTTTCGGTTCCTCTCTTCATGCCTATATCTTCTATGGGTTCTCTAATTTTTTTATTCATGAATGTGTGATCAATCTGGTCTTCCATAGTGGGGGAACTCATACAGCTCTGTGTGCTTTTATAGGGGAAAATGCTTCCACATATGACCACGTTGTTGAAAGTATATAGATCTACTATTCTCTTGCCGATCTCAGTTTGTTTTATCAGTCCATTTCGTGCTATGATGTGTTGGTACCCAACCCGATCCCGACGTTAAGGTTCCTTATCAGGATGGTGAGATGTTCTTCTGGGTATTTCCCTATGATGAACTGCAGGGTCTTATAAAAATGGTCTTTACCATGTTTACTACTGTAATTGGTGGTCGCATAACAATTTGTTTTGAAGGATGCTTTGGTAATCCTTGAGCCATGAGTTTCCTATCCTACATGCGCTTCTATACGTGCTTCTTTGCACAGCAACAACACAACTTATGTGTGGTGGCCATTTTCTTCTTCATGATCAAAATACATCTTTCCTGAGATTAGTGTTTTCTATCCAGGTTGTGCCCAATAAGTTTCACTTATTGCAAGCACTGACAGGGTATGATCTTCTCATTTCCATTGCTATTTTGAGGACTTCGTCGGTCTCCCACTTGGTCCGAACATTTCATGTACCCATACTAATTGTTGTCAGAAGTAGCTTCGGCCTCATGGCCTCAAAGAATCTCAGCTTTCACCATGAAGCATCATAACTCTCCTATATGAAGACCCCTTAGATCCCAGAAAAGAGTTCAAACGGTTTGAACAACTTTCTGGTTAGCGTTTTTGTAGTAGGGTTCTGTTTTTACGAAATAGGATTTCTAACTCTATGTCCAATGCTCCTCCTCTGTGCCTGGGCTTGGGGCCGGTAGTAACCCTAGAAGGGCTCTAGGCAGCGCTAATACAGTTCGTACCATTATATTGTATTATATCAAAAAGTTGGCTAGGTGGTTTATGTAATTGACTTCTAAGAATTCATCGCGGATTTGAACATTTCTGATCCTTTAGCAGTACGAGTAGTTAGTTAGTATCCTGTAGTTGCTATATGTTGTTTCATCGCATTTCGTTGAATTAAGTCTTAAATTTCATGATGATTATTGATTTGAGACGTTGGTAGTCATGGTTTGGAATTCGAGATAACGTCTATCGTGCTAAAATTAGTTATTTTCTACATTGTAGTACTGTTGAACAGTTATTATTTCGCCTTCATATTTATTGACTGTTTGGTTTCCCCATATTTTTTTCTACAGAGTTGAATTTTTGTTTTGTACGATGCTTGTTTAGATTTTCGTTTGTATCAAAAGGATTTTCTATCCAACATATCAATCTCCCCAATGAATATAATGAAGTACGTATAATTTTTCATGTAATGTAATTCACTGAAAAAAAACTGACAAGATACTAGTATGTAGAATCTTGTTTTACAGTGTAGTTTGGGGGGTTCACTTAGTACAAATGAGAATATGATGCAAAATTTTTGAACTTTTACTAATTTTCTTAATGTAATTCTTATTCTAGCTGAAACATTCCACGAATTGATATTCTTCATAAATTCTTAGTCATATAAAAATAACCACAATTCCGAAATCTCAGAGTTTTATTTGGGATAAACAATAGTTTGAAAATGATGGAAATTTAATCTTCACAATGGCGGATTTCAATAATGATAAATGTTTATTCGAAGTCTTAGCACACACTCCCCAACGTAGGACCAGACACATATATGCATAGGTTCAAGTTGCCATACCTCATTAGCACAACAAGATGAACACCGAATTCATACAAATAGTTACTTCAAAAGTAATAATATATCAAAGAAAAATTATGTATAAGGATATATACAGGAGGAAAGAATCAGTTCGTAGAAAGAAAGGTATACAGCAATTTTAATCTCATAGTTTAAGGGAAGAGAAAGAGTATATATACCTACGCCATTGTGATCGATTCTGAGCCACGTCACACAGTCTCCAACCATTGGTTGCGATAGTCACGCGGACCCCAACCAAGTAGTCTGCATCCACCAACATGACTTACACTAGAAGTTAGTGACTTCAAGCACTGATGCGACGTTTTAGTTTGGCCGCCCCCAACTTTCTTCCAACCATTCTCAACACTAGTCAGCATTGCGCGTCGTGGTAATCGGTGTTCGGGCATACGCAACACGTGGCTCAACCATTTCAGTCGATGAAGATTCACAACCTCATCAACTGATTTACTATCATTCCCTAATACCCTGCGTCTAACCTCACTATTACTTACCCGGTGATTCCAGCAGATGTGAGCAATATTCCTAAGACATCTATCATCAAACACAGGTAACTTTCGAGGGCCTTATCAAATGCTTGTTAAAGTGACTTGAACTACTTTTCGAATATTCGGAAATATTTGTATTTTCAAAAAACAATCTATAGTTATTGGCTAGAATTTTAATCAAAAACACTTTGCTTTATCGAAATAATAATTGTAATTGTGAATGATTATCCGCAATGAACTTGGTAATTTCTTTATAAAATGCAATCTGATCCAAAACAATGTAATATGGACCATATTTATTTATGGCAAACTACAATATTCACCCACTGACTTAATTCATGTAAGAGCTTAAAAAGAGACCCCATTTTCTAAAAAGAGCTTCAAACTACACAATGATCAAATCTGACATTTTACGAAAAAGACATGATAAACTACCTTTCATTCGAACTTACTAACAACCAACTGTATTTGTCTGCAGTATCACTTTGGTATTGTAAATCCATTTGTAGTTCACCCTGGTTTTAAAAAAACACAATAAAATATGGATGTCAATTCAACTTTTTTACTTCACAACCTGTAAGTCATAAATTATTCATATTTCTAGTAGTTCCCTATTGATTTTTCTGGATTACATCAAGCTATGAGATATATTTGTTGATATTTATGAACAGAAAGCCAGACGAACTAGATGCTATTTGTTAGATTTCTGCTGTTATTTGAAGAGCAATTTAGTTAGTGGAACTAATTTAAATAAGACTGAAAAGAAAGTGCGGATTCAAAAATAAACTAAAATACATAACAACATTCAAAACATAACATCATTCCTAAGGGAAATATAACCACCACAAAAAAAGCATCAGCCCACCTAGTGGAACTGCGCGAATTTACTGAATTCTCTACACGCGAAAATAAAGTAAGAGGAAGAATAGTGCCATACCTGATCAACAGGATAAGATTTAATTAACAAGAGTAATCGAAGTAATGTGGTAGCAATGATAAAAAGAAAGACTAAGCCGTGGAAATATGATTTGAAAAGACAGAATGATAAGGTATATGTGAAGGGTTACTGGGATCCAAGAGTGAGGAGCTAAAGGATGAGTATATCTAAACAATTGTGAACAATTTGTCAGATGGTGCACTAGATCACATTCCCATCTGAATAAATAGAAATAATCGAGTACTTTTGGATCTTCGAAAAAAAATAATGGGAGACGTAGATACCAGTAATCAACAGATAGTATTGAAGTTGTACTACAGAACACTCCTAAATTTAGTAACCAATAATAGTTGAGATCTTAACATTGATGGGGGGTAAATCATCAGTTTTTCCATAACATATCTTAAAAGTGACTGTACAACCTACTCGACTGTACCGCAAAAAAGAAAGGAAACATTTATTTATCTATTTGAACACATAAACACCGATACAAGGGGGCACCAAATACATATGCGCCACAGAAAAATAATGAGAATGTGAAGAGATAAATATAAGGTGCGTATAAGAAGAAAAGAAGTACAACAATGAACAGAAATTAGTGTATGATAATGAAATAATAATAATGGGAGAGACAGGTCAATTAGCAGAAGTACAGCCACAAAGAATTCTCCAACTTAAAGACGTTACGTCTTTTTTATGAACAAAGTGAAATAAGGTTGCAGCACGATCGCCAATAGCGAATGTAAGGCGCGTATGAGAAAAAGGGGAACAACAACGAACAGAAATTAGTACGTGAGTGAAATATTAATAACGGGAGGAAGAATTCAGTTAGCGAAAGTACAATTAGGAAGAATTCTTTCAGTTAAAGAAGTTTAAATATATGGCTTTTAGGATGTTAATAAACTTCTCAGGCACACCCTTCTTCAATAGACAATCCCAGAGAACAGTCCTGTCCAACGAATCGAAGGCAGCCCTGATGTCAAGAAACACTACGATTGTTGGCCTTCGATAAGTATGGCGGTGTTCTAACATTTGGCGAAGGGTGAAGATATGATCAATACATCCTCTACCAGAACGAAACCCAGCCTGCTCCTCACTAGTTGATCTTTCTCGGATTTTGAACAACCTACGAAGTATGACGAAAGCCAATAGCTTGGACGCAATCGGAAGTAGACTTATCCCCCGATAGTTGTTACAGGAACGACGTGAAGCCTTTTTAAAGATAGGGACAACTATCGACTCATTGCATGACGTTGGTACACTCTCTAGCTCCCAAACCTTTGTAAACAACGTCGTGAACCCACAACTGACTGTACCCGCCATTTTCATGGCGTCATGAAGTTGCAACCAATGCTCATCTATACTTTTCGGTGGAATGGTAGCTAGCATAGAAGCTAGCTCGGTTCGATACTTACTAGCAACAGAAGTTGCAACCAACTTGCTGACATCAATCCTTTGGTGGCGGTCACTTTGTTGGCCACTGAGAAGTAAGGTGAGATTGGCGCAGACCAAGGCATGATCAGAGTCCAGAGGGGTACTCCAAAAGGAGCGGCAGTCTTGTACACAACCACGCTAGCGGTAGCTGATCGCGATTTGACCGATCTGAGTCCAGGCTTGAGATGCAGAAGGAGGATGCCAGGTGGCACATCGGCGATAACTGTGCCGAAAGTTAGTGCTAGCCAGAAACAGGTTGTGGTCTGTGGACAGTTGCAGTAGACGGTCCCCGTTATCTGTCTTGCGACCTACAAGTCCCCATCGGCCACCTAAACGACTCTCTTCTGCGCCTAGACGCCCGACCTGAGCATTCAAGTCTCCGGCTAGTACTAAAATATCTGTCGAACGCACTTCCTGGAGAAGAACAGATAATTGGTGGTAGAATTCATCCTTGATTGCATCCGGGCTGCAATCTGTCGGAGCATAAACGGAGATGACGAAAAGACATCGTTTTTCAGGCCGATTTCTTCTCACTTTGATGGAACTCTCTAATCTAACAGCACATAACCGACTGTTGATGGGGATCCAATGGATTAGTGCTGCCTCAGCTCTGGCGCTTAGTGCGACACCAACGCCAGCAAGACCAGACGAAGATGCCACAGGGTCCCCGGGTAAGCGCACGTAAAACAAAAGCGACAGATGAAGAGCGAATCTGCAGTACTAACTAGAGCCTTGTATACGACAGAAGTCGATATTAAGACTTTATAAAGATATAACCGACCCTATCTGTTTTCCGAACTGCGTTAGTGTGCGAACGTTGAACGAAGCCAGTTTGAATGGTATACGTGATTTCAGAAAGACAGTTTCAGTATTTGTATTCGATGGTAGCATTCACTTTTCGACCAGTCAGTGACTCGAGATCGTTTAGATAGAACAAAGTTCTCATCATAGGCAATCTGCTGCATAAGTGGAAAAATAAGGATACACAAAGTGGGAATAAAAGAGAGTGGATAAGTGACGTGGTATATAAAAAAAAAGGAATGTGAATTGTCTGACTTTTAATAGAGGCGAAAATAGTACTTTCCGTAATTATCGTCATTTCATTTTATTTGTGTGTGGGCTGTGATACTGTCCAGGTTCCCAGACCGGAAAAGGGGGTTTTCTTAGTGTGCCACAACCCGAGCCTTCGACCTAAAGGACTGATCCATAAGGCAGTGGAACAACGTCAGATCTAGTCCCATGGTAGCCGAAAGCCAACAATTGGCACATATGCCGTTTGTTCCCTCAGTATTCTGGAGCCCATATGCACCATTGGTTGGTAATCAGGGTTTTCCAACTCCCCTAGGTGTCCACTAAGCCGGTTAGAGCGCCGGACGTTCAATTTCCGTCCTCACAATTTCGTAAACAACATCCCCACCGCGAGAAGGTAGTGAATAGGACTTCCCTGGCAGTGATTGTATGCACGTGGCCATGTGAGAGCATTTCGAGAGGGAGAGCTGACTCTCTCCACTCTCGGCCGTACCAGGGCATGTTGGGGTGACTGTACAACCTATTCGATTCTACTAAAAAAAGGAAATAGCTAAATTTAAAATAAAACTTACTTTCTTTATGCCTTTCAAATGCACCGGGCTTGATGATTTGAGTTGCAAAATAGGGCGATAATTCTCAAACACATCTTGTCTTGAATAATTTGCATTATTGTTGTGATGTTGTACAACGCTTAAACTATCATTGATAAAGGATGACTTTCTTGTACAAACTGAAGATTGAACATCCTTATTATTCAGACTATCACAACTTAGCCGCTCTGAAAAATGAACATTCATCATAAAATCTAATAAAAAATACGGTAGTATGGTAATGATACATTCATATAAATTAAACAAAAATAAAACGAAAAACCACCTATTCAAAAGAGGATTATTGCTTTTATTAACTATGGCTGACAATTAAATAACCATTAAAATGAGAACAAACGCCAGAAATATAAAATTTGCCTGGAACTTAACTACATTCTCTACCTTCAGAAACACTAAATTTCCAAATAGCATTTTTATAGAAAGTTCAGAGAATAATTCGATTCCCTAATGACACAAAAATTTATACAATCCATATATGGTCAAAATTCGAGGATGATAACTAACTGTTCGTACTGCTAAAGGATCAGAAATGTTCAAATCCGCGATGAATTCTTAGAAGTCAATTACATAAACCACCTAGCCAACTTTTTGATATAATACAATATAATGGTACGAACTGTATTAGCGCTGCCTAGAGCCCTTCTAGGGTTACTACCGGCCCCAAGCCCAGGCACAGAGGAGGAGCATTGGACATAGAGTTAGAAATCCTATTTCGTAAAAACAGAACCCTACTACAAAAACGCTAACCAGAAAGTTGTTCAAACCGTTTGAACTCTTTTCTGGGATCTAAGGGGTCTTCATATAGGAGAGTTATGATGCTTCATGGTGAAAGCTGAGATTCTTTGAGGCCATGAGGCCGAAGCTACTTCTGACAACAATTAGTATGGGTACATGAAATGTTCGGACCAAGTGGGAGACCGACGAAGTCCTCAAAATAGCAATGGAAATGAGAAGATCATACCCTGTCAGTGCTTGCAATAAGTGAAACTTATTGGGCACAACCTGGATAGAAAACACTAATCTCAGGAAAGATGTATTTTGATCATGAAGAAGAAAATGGCCACCACACATAAGTTGTGTTGTTGCTGTGCAAAGAAGCACGTATAGAAGCGCATGTAGGATAGGAAACTCATGGCTCAAGGATTACCAAAGCATCCTTCAAAACAAATTGTTATGCGACCACCAATTACAGTAGTAAACATGGTAAAGACCATTTTTATAAGACCCTGCAGTTCATCATAGGGAAATACCCAGAAGAACATCTCACCATCCTGATAAGGAACCTTAACGTCGGGATCGGGTTGGGTACCAACACATCATAGCACGAAATGGACTGATAAAACAAACTGAGATCGGCAAGAGAATAGTAGATCTATATACTTTCAACAACGTGGTCATATGTGGAAGCATTTTCCCCTATAAAAGCACACAGAGCTGTATGAGTTCCCCCACTATGGAAGACCAGATTGATCACACATTCATGAATAAAAAAATTAGAGAACCCATAGAAGATATAGGCATGAAGAGAGGAACCGAAACAGCTTCAGATCATCACCAGGTGGTAGCGACCAGGGCAAAACTGAAACTGAAGAAGCACTGGATAATTGGACAAGCAGCAGTATGGCCAGATAAAGATTCAAGTGTTGTAACAATGAATCAAAAAGATGTGCATAAAATGTTCACAATGATAAATCAAGATTCCGATTCGGTAAATCTAGAAAAGATGTCATTGCAATAATCGAAAACAGGGTTAATAAAAATCTTTGGGAACTCATTGAGAACGCAACTTACAACAGTCTGAAGGGAAAAGTCATGATTTTTATTTATATATGGTCTTTTGAAAGTACAAAAATCCAACATCCATTAAGACTCACAATATGTATAGTAAACTCATCATATTACAAATTGGCTCGATGGTTAGCTCAATTATTAGAACGAATCCGAAGAAGAATGGTGGCCCATAGTTTAAACGACACATTTAAGTTTTCTGAAGAAATGAATCATTTAAATATATCAGATTGGTTCGTGGTATCTTTTGATGCTTGCTGATTATTTAAAATCATGCCGTTAGAAGAAAACTTTAATACAATTTGTAATCATGCCCTAGTGAGAGCACGCATTTCTATAGGTTTTACTGGATGTAGAAAGCTCAGAGCAGGAAGACCTCTTAGATATTGATTCAGAGACGGAAAGATGGGAGAAGCATTCGGAGAAGAATCAGTTAAGCACCTGGTCGGTTGTACAGAAAGTTTATCCTGAAGGAGCTGAGAACGATACCCAAGCAGCTGTAAATACGCCAGTGACATCTACCAATAATTTAGATCGGAAGTTAGGAAAGACCAATGGATTTTCGATGGTATCCATTAAGTTGATCAGAGCTCGAAAACTCATCCTGTCACACTAGGTGAACGATAGTGACGACAAATCAAACTAACAAAAGATCAGTAGTGGTTAACGAAAGCAGAAGAGATGGGAAAGGTAGCGGCGATGGGTAATAATAAACAGCTATTCGGAGTTATCAAGGAAACTGGTACTAAAAATCCGACTATTATTGAGACTAACTCGGAAAAACATGGAACCATTACTCACTCCCAATCCATTAGATTGGATTGATGGGCAAAACACTTTGAGAAACAGTTCAACTGACCTTCAGTCACAATTCAGTTACCTACTATCTCCAATCAACCCGAGTGGCAAACTGAAATACATCTCTCAATTGTGGGGTTGAGGTTATAGGAAATCTAAAGCAATGGAGAGTACCAGGTCCAGATGAATTTATCCCGGAAACTTTCAAGGATAGTGGTCCAGTTCTAGCAGTTAGATTGATTGAGGTCTTAGTTGGAATGTGGGGACTGGATGTAGTCCCATCTGATTGGTCTCAGTTGCTGGTCGTACCAGTCCATAAGAGAGGACAAATATCCTCTTGTAACAACCACAGAGGAATCAGTCTGACCGATATAGTATCTAAAATACCCTCTCCGATAATGCTCCGAATTCCAGGAGAAGCACTTGAAGCAGACGTAGCAGTAACTGCAAGGATACTCCACATTCTCTTTAGCAAGATTTGGGATGGAGAACAAGTACCAACAGACTGGAAAGAGGGACACCTGGTCAAAATACCAAAGAAAGGCGATCTCAGCAAGTGAGATCTACAGAGGCATTACTCTTCTCTCAATAGCAGGAAAAGTCTTCGACAGGGTATTGTTAAACAGAATGAAGGACTCCGTAGATGCTCAACTTCGAGACCAACAGGCTCGATTCCGTAAGGATCGATCGCGTACAGACCAAATTGAAACACTACGGATCATTGTGGAACAATCAATTGAATGGAATTCATCACTCTACATCGACTTCATTGACTACGAGAAAGCGCTTAATAGCGTAGACAGGACAACACTATGGAGGCTTCTTCGACACTACGGTGTGCCTGAGAAGATAGTCAATATAATACGGAATTTCTTTGATAGGTTAAACTGCATAATCGTGCATGAAGGACAGTTGACAGACTCATTCGAAGTAAAGACCGGCTTCAGGCAAGGTTGCTTACTCTCACCCTTTCTCTTTCCCCTGGTGATCGACTGGATTATGAAAACGCCAACATCTGGGGGAAGCATGGGATACAGTGAACATCTAGGATGCAGTTGGACGATCTAGACTTCGCAGATGATCTGACTGTTCTATCGCAAACGCAACAACAAATGCAGGAGAAGACGATCAGTGTAGTAGCAGCCTCAGCAGCAGTAGGTCTCAATATACACAAAGGGAAAAGCAAGATTCTCCGTTACAACACAGCATGCAACAATCCAGTCACAATTGACGGAGAAGATTTGGAAGATGTAAAAACCTTTACATATCTGGGCAGCATCATTGATGAACACGGTAGATCTGATGCAGATGTGAAGGCGCGGATCGGCAAAGTAAGATCAGCATATCTACAACTGAAGAACATCTGTAACGCAAAACAACTGTCAACCAACATCAAGGTAAGAATTTCCTATACAAATGTCAAGAAAGTTCTACTGTATGGGGCGGAAACCTGGAGAACTACGAAAGACATCATCCAGAAAATACAAGTGTTCATTAACAGTTGCTACGCAAAATACTTCGGATCTGTTGGCCAGACACTATCGGCAACAACCAACTGTGGGAGAGAACAAACCAGATCCCAGTGGAGGAAGAAATCAGGAAGCGCTGCATGTGGATAGGAAATACATTGAGGAAAGCACCCAACGGCGTCACAAAACAAGCGCTCACATGGAATCCTCAAGGCCAAAGGAGGAGAGGAAGACGAAAAAACACATTACGCCGGGAAATGGAGATAGACATGAGAAAAATGAACAAGAATTGGACGGAATTAGAAAAGAAGATCCAGGAGAGAGTGGGTTGGAGAATGTTGGTCGGTGGCCTATGCTCCATTGGGAGTAACAGGCATAAGTTATTAGTTTTTTCAGTATCGGAATACTCACACATTTTTGGTTATGAGCCCAACGTTATAAACAGTCCAATTCTCGATTTAGAATGATTACGATCGCTTCCCAAACTCCTGTGACTCTCGTTGTGCACGAACTGTAATTTGAACTCAACTTAGAACTCAAGCTGTTTGTGATGAATGAACATGTTCGTGTTATACATTCGCTTTGCCTTCTAGGATAAAAAGTACCGTACACTGACGTATGAACATTAAGTGACATGAATTAATCAATAAAATATAAGCTTTTTTGTTTGTGTGAAAATTCCGTTCGTCGGTATCAAGTATGCTGGAATGAATCCAAATGTTAAGGTGAAAGGATGAGCAGATTCCAGGAACCATTTCAATCACTGAAGTCACTTCATAAAATCCGCATAATAGTCATGGAGAAACAGTTGACCTGATAAAAACCTCTGCAACATGTTCCATACTTTTGGTGAAAATACGTTACATAGATACGTTTACATAAAATATACGGTTTAGGAGTAAAATTAGTGCTATTCATTGAATGCCAACACTAAAGTAATTTAGCTATCAACTGACTATAAATAAGTAAACAAAAGGAAATAGTTAAAGTTTCAGTATAAGATATGTTATCAGATATTACACATAAAAATACCTTTATTCTTGAAACTGGTTCTACTGGATACAAAAGTTGTGTTAACACCAATACTTATACCCCGTTTTATATCATGCTTGTTAAAACAATCCTGGTTATTACCACGTACCACACCATTTTTCGAAGTATCAGGTGCCAAACAGCCAATTTTCTTCTTACCTAACATGTTAGCAATGATTTTTTCAAGACGCTCCAACTGATTCATCGGAAGGTCGGAAAGGATAGGAAGAAAATGCATTGTTATGTCGATGATATCAAACCTTGAATGAATCTCCGAGAAAACGGCTTTGGGACCAATATTAACAGTACATCCTGTGTTAGGAGTTGAAGTTGTACTAACTGGTGAAACTGACGCAGATGAAGTAACAGGATTAGGAAAATTCCGATAACGATTTGGATCATAATTATAAGTATCTTCTTGATTGGAATTATTGTCAGATGATTCGCCACTTTTAATGAAACCATTTGATTTTCTAGGAGGCTCTCTAGGAAAAGATTCTTCATCTAATTGTTCTGAAGTAATTCTATAGGAGTGACTTCCTCTAGAATTGTGATATGAAGTTTTAACACCCTCTTCGGATAGTAAAGAAGCTTCCAGAATATTAGATTCAGACAAATCCAAGCTAGGGAAGAAAATAAGAAAGCTTAGGTAACATGATCAAATACAAGCAATTTTTGATGACATGTGTGCATCCCCTGTGTCCATCTTATAGAATTCAAGAAGAGATCAATGGAGAATAAAATCCAACAACAGACTACAGTACTGTCGAATTGTGAATTTTTACTCAGAGCATAATATTTGATATAGACTTAAACGATTCCATTCACTACTACTTTGTTTTTATAATAAACAGCATATAACAATTGATATAATATTAAAAACAGTTGGTACAATGGTGAACTCGTTAAAATGTGTTACAGGAATGGAAAGGATCAATGAAAATCCTTTAAAATTGATGGAAGCAATCATTTGAAAAATGGATACGAAGTCTTTAAGAGTTCAGTTGTTTTATCCAGTTCTCATTGACGACAACAATGGACAGAAAAACGTCAGACGTAACAAAGTAGTACAGAAGATCAATTTCTTACATTTCAAAATAAAGAAAACTTTAAACAAAATGGAAAACTGACAATAATAACATAAAATAAATGACACGATCGAAAAACAAGTGAGGATGGATCATGAAAATCTCATAAGAAAGATGAATATTGGATACAACTGAGCTATTATGCATTATCTAGCAGAGTGTGTTATCTAAAGTTGTGAATCATATCGGAGTCCATAACAACAGGTCTCTGGATTCCTTTGCATGGTAAAAATTCTAAAATTAATTACTTTTTTCGCAGCTCTAAATCAAATATATCAAGATTTTAACAAGACACACATCCTTTTATTTATCTCTAGATTCGACGAATGCATTAACTAAAGTTATTATTAAGTCAAACAAATCACTAAGAAATGTGAACTGCTTTTATCCACTCTACTAAAACAGTTTGTTTACGTGAACTACCATAGTACACAAATCTAACAGTGATACTCTAAAAACTAGTCTTGAAGTATCCAACTATAGTTTATAATAAAATTGATATCTTGAATTAGATTTCAGAGTACGAGTTTGATTTCGCTCATAATTAACAAGATGCGTTCATGCATTTTAATATGAATGTTTACGTATCCACAAAAACGAAACTCTACTCTATGAAATCCCAGGCTGTTGATCTGAGCTTCATAAGGATGAGTAAACTGTAAAATATTTACAATCTAAATTAGTTTACTCACCATCTCATACATTTCGAACAGTATAATTTCATACCTAACTCTGTTTCTATCTTATTAAGCTTGTTTTCATTCCCTAATTTTATTATTATTCCTTTTATCCCTTCGTTTTTTTTCTTGCCATCACCCATTAAGGTGGTTATGTTTGCTACGACTGTTTTAAGTAATTTAAACACTTATACATTTATTGGATAAATGGCTATCATTATATAGGTCATAACTAACCGCTATTACAAGAAAAAATACTTGAATTTCGATTGAAACATTTCTGACTACGGATAACAATTTCATTTTAAAAACTAGAGCTACAGGAATTGGGATGTCTTTAAATGATGTTAATAAGCCAGAGCGGCTACTGCAGATCTGGACTATCTTTGGCGCCTTCATGATCTTAGTCTGGCTGTAAAAAGTCGAATCTACAACGCGTCGGTGATAGCAGTCTTGCTCTGCCCCCAAATGCCCTGGTACGGCCGAGAGTGGGGAGAGCCCGCTCTCCCTCTCGAAATACTCTCACACGGCCACGTGTATACAGCCTCTGCCAGGGAAGTCCTACTCATTGCCTTCTCGTGGCGGGGGTGTTGTTTACGAAAATGAGGATGAAAAGCGAATGTCCGGCGCTTTAACCGGATCCCAAACCAATGGTGCACATGGGCTCCAGTATCCTGAGGGAACAAATGGCATATGAACCAATCGTTGGTCACCGGCTACCATGGGACTGCATCTCCTTACGATGCTCCACTGCCTTGTGGGTTAGAACTTTAGGTCAAAGGCTCGGGGTGTGACCCCCTAAGATAACCACCTGCTTCGGTCTGGGCACCCGGGCAATATCACAGCCACCTACAATTATGATGAACTGCCTATAATTATGGAAACTACTTTACTTGCTTCAACTAACAATCAAATGATTCAAGTGATAATTATTACTATTATTATTATTATTATTTACCACCTTATTCACACTCTTCTATACGTATACAGCGGCTCGTCTTTGGTGGAAATTCGACTGTATCTAAACGATCTCGAGTCACTGACTGGTCGAAAAGTGAATGCTACCATCGAATACAAATACTGAAACTGTCTTTCTGAAATCACGTATACCATTCAAACTGGCTTCGTTCAACGTTCGCACACTAACGCAGTTCGGAAAACAGATAGGGTCGGTTATATCTTTATAAAGTCTTAATATCGACTTCTGTCGTATACAAGGCTCTAGTTAGTACTGCAGATTCGCTCTTCATCTGTCGCTTTTGTTTTACGTGCGCTTACCCGGGGACCCTGTGGCATCTTCGTCTGGTCTTGCTGGCGTTGGTGTCGCACTAAGCGCCAGAGCTGAGGCAGCACTAATCCATTGGATCCCCATCAACAGTCGGTTATGTGCTGTTAGATTAGAGAGTTCCATCAAAGTGAGAAGAAATCGGCCTGAAAAACGATGTCTTTTCGTCATCTCCGTTTATGCTCCGACAGATTGCAGCCCGGATGCAATCAAGGATGAATTCTACCACCAATTATCTGTTCTTCTCCAGGAAGTGCGTTCGACAGATATTTTAGTACTAGCCGGAGACTTGAATGCTCAGGTCGGGCGTCTAGGCGCAGAAGAGAGTCGTTTAGGTGGCCGATGGGGACTTGTAGGTCGCAAGACAGATAACGGGGACCGTCTACTGCAACTGTCCACAGACCACAACCTGTTTCTGGCTAGCACTAACTTTCGGCACAGTTATCGCCGATGTGCCACCTGGCATCCTCCTTCTGCATCTCAAGCCTGGACTCAGATCGGTCAAATCGCGATCAGTTACCGCTAGCGTGGTTGTGTACAAGACTGCCGCTCCTTTTGGAGTACCCCTCTGGACTCTGATCATGCCTTGGTCTGCGCCAATCTCACCTTACTTCTCAGTGGCCAACAAAGTGACCGCCACCAAAGGATTGATGTCAGCAAGTTGGTTGCAACTTCTGTTGCTAGTAAGTATCGAACCGAGCTAGCTTCTATGCTAGCTACCATTCCACCGAAAAGTATAGATGAGCATTGGTTGCAACTTCATGACGCCATGAAAATGGCGGGTACAGTCAGTTGTGGGTTCACGACGTTGTTTACAAAGGTTTGGGAGCTAGAGAGTGTACCAACGTCATGCAATGAGTCGATAGTTGTCCCTATCTTTAAAAAGGCTTCACGTCGTTCCTGTAACAACTATCGGGGGATAAGTCTACTTCCGATTGCGTCCAAGCTATTGGCTTTCGTCATACTTCGTAGGTTGTTCAAAATCCGAGAAAGATCAACTAGTGAGGAGCAGGCTGGGTTTCGTTCTGGTAGAGGATGTATTGATCATATCTTCACCCTTCGCCAAATGTTAGAACACCGCCATACTTATCGAAGGCCAACAATCGTAGTGTTTCTTGACATCAGGGCTGCCTTCGATTCGTTGGACAGGACTGTTCTCTGGGATTGTCTATTGAAGAAGGGTGTGCCTGAGAAGTTTATTAACATCCTAAAAGCCATATATTTAAACTTCTTTAACTGAAAGAATTCTTCCTAATTGTACTTTCGCTAACTGAATTCTTCCTCCCGTTATTAATATTTCACTCACGTACTAATTTCTGTTCGTTGTTGTTCCCCTTTTTCTCATACGCGCCTTACATTCGCTATTGGCGATCGTGCTGCAACCTTATTTCACTTTGTTCATAAAAAAGACGTAACGTCTTTAAGTTGGAGAATTCTTTGTGGCTGTACTTCTGCTAATTGACCTGTCTCTCCCATTATTATTATTTCATTATCATACACTAATTTCTGTTCATTGTTGTACTTCTTTTCTTCTTATACGCACCTTATATTTATCTCTTCACATTCTCATTATTTTTCTGTGGCGCATATGTATTTGGTGCCCCCTTGTATCGGTGTTTATGTGTTCAAATAGATAAATAAATTTAATGAGTGCGCAATCTACGGAACCAATAAATCAACCGTTTCAATTAGTAAATAGAACTAAATTTCGGGGTTACATTTTGCATCTTACTGATGGTTAGTAAGCTTGTTTGATAGTAATCCATATGGTAGATAAATTACGAAAAGTGATGCTAATATAATTTAGTAATGAAATATAACCATACACGCAATAATGTTCGCGGCACGTAATTCGTGAGAGCTTAAACCACTATTTAGATACTTACAGAAAGATACGCAGATTGTGTTTGAACCCAATTTATATTCTTTAATTCTTCATAACCTCATTGTTATTGTGTGATGCATATGTATTTGGTGCCCCTTTGTACCAATATTCATGTGTTCAAATAAGTATTTAAAATAAGATAGAAGAACCAACAAGGACTCAGAGTGGACTCTAGTCTACTCGTACTTGTTAACGCGTCATTGGTTCAGGACTGGGCCAATGTCATACAAGTCGGTGTTCTCATTGGCAATTTAGTCACGTGATACTTGACAGGGCAAAAGCCATAACAGTACTCATAAGTACTATCGTATCAGGTTTCCAAATTCCTTGATTAATCGGTTAGCGAGTAATGGTGGCTTTCAGAGGGATCGACGACAATACTCATCCTAATAAAAGTCTCACTATTAGTGATAAAAGTAAATTGCAACTATGATGCGAAAACGGAGTTTAGAAATTAAAGCAGTCGTGCACAAATCACAGAACGCTAAAATTACGATCCAACCCAATCACCGAAACAGCGGAATGGTGAGCAAAAATTCGTCGTTTTTGGCATATCAATACGTCACCCACCACATGATTTGTCTTGTTTCTACATTAACATTTAATGAATAAATTAATTAATTAATAATCAGTTTTTATCTATAAAGAGGGCAAACCGAGATAAATATAATAAGGTGGAAGCATAACTCAGTAAACAAATATAACGTCATATGCAAGTTTACTAGTCACAACGGTATTGTGATTGCCACTGAAATTACTGAAACACCAACTAGGGGAATGTAAGTGGAACGTATGGCTTAGCAGTCCCAAGTTGAATATCTAGATTAAACAATCACAAGATGTATCTGGGTCGTTTAAAAACTTTACTCTGCCGGAATGTCAACTACGAACGAATTCACCAAGTGAGAAATATTACAACTGAACTGATAGACACACAATAAACACTATGTAAATATGTTCCAACTATGAACGCGATAGTGAAAAATAACAGAGCTCAACTAACTTTTTAAATTCACCACTAGATGGGTGAGAATTCAGATTACTTTTCATACTGTTCTGGTTTTCAGATACACAACGGGCAGAGATTTGTGATGTCGCAGAAAACAGAGTAGGAATCGCTAAACGAACAAACTTATCTTCAAAATATTCCAAACCATTAACAGAATCACAAAATTGTTTCACTGAATCTTTTAAAATGGTCAAATTTTCTTTAGGTGAAATATTTTTTACCAAATTCCATGTAAAATATTCTGAATTTTCGAAACTGGATTTTGGAAGAGATACACTATCTTCAAGGCTTGACAAAAGAGTAAACTTTAACTGAAAAATGTTTTTATACAAAAAGAACAGAAAGATACTAAGCATCATACTTTAATTACTAGTGGTATAAATTTTAACTATCCAAGTTCGAAATAATGAAGTTAGGAAACTGAAAGTTTCACTTATAATCCAATAATTCCTACTTGGGAATAAATAGATAAATCATATAGTAAATCCATTTCCGGATAATTCGATAATTGCCCTATCTCCATCATGAATAATCTGTAACATGCAGGCAAAAGGAACAAGTGAATTTTCAAACTGAATTAATACTTCGCTGGAATCTCCTTTATGTCTGCAAACATGATGAGATAAAGTTATCCGTTTCATAATTGGAAGAAAACTGGGAGATGAAATGGAAGGTTTGAGAGACTTAGACATGAAGCTAGTTTATTTTAATAATACGCTTGCATTTGATATTGACCAACATGGTAATGCTATCCATAAATATATATTACTTGGTACAACAAATATGTTTTGCAATACGTTAATATGGAAACCATTTTGATATATCTAATCATTGTTGTTACCTTATGATTTTTGTTTTTTACTCGTAAAAGTAATTTTCGAAGTGTTTATCTGATCCCATAGTTTATATCATTTCTATCGATAAACAGCGTACCTTACCTTCGTACAAAGGCTTTCACATTTTACTTTGCCCAGTACATATTAGTTAATACAACTCCCTGATAATGAGAAGTCAATACAATATTCAAGGAATTTCAATTAATCAAGAGTCTGGTACACTCAAAATAATTTCATGTGACACGTCACGGTACAAAAAAGTAACACCATATGATAAAAAGTAAAGATATTGCATATAAATAATAAAAACAAGTGTGGCCAATTGTCTTTCTAAGAATAGTTTAGTTATAACGTTCAATACGTCCAAATAAGAACATCCACCATCATTTCAATCATCAAGGCCATATTGTGAATATGTAAATCTTGAGCCCTTACAGAAGCACTATGTACACATTATGTTCACAGGAACGAGGGTGAATGATTCACCATACACGATAAGAATATTAGTGAATCTCAGGAAAATAAATTGTAGAAGTTATAAACGGAGGGAAAATATCTAAAAATGTTGACGACTGTAATCTCAAGTAAAAACTAATTAGTTAGCATTGTAACAACTAGTCTTTGTTATTCGAATATGAAACGTAGCTTGAGATTTGAAGTACAGTGAAGTTGTATAAACACAAACATCTAATGGCTTGATAAAAAAACAAAGAGTCGCTCAGGTTAAATACTACGACCGAATAAGTAACACTTTGAGTAAACTTGCCAACTTTTATCAACCAAGATTATCAAACCGTTTGTTGTGTATGCTACGTTACTCTCAACATTGATAGGGCTGAAGTAGAAGTAAGTCCTAAGGATCTACAGTACACACAACACCGAGCTATAAAATTAATGAGGGATATTTTCAGGAATACTGAGAACGTCACGATAGTAAACGTTAATCGTTGAAATCACTGCTTAAGATTGTCAGAAAACGGTTAGAGTCATGCAAAGTTTTGACATTTTTATCTTGCTCAGATACACGCTAACCTACCTAGTTTGAAAAGCTTCTTGTAACCAATTTCATTAAACCCGATTTTTGCGACTAAAACAATTTTATATGTAATTGACAAATCACTAATCCGGGAAAATTTAAGTGGAAAAGTGTGAAATCTGGATCATATATTTATACATTATCAATGTGATTTTCGGTTTAAGTTTATAAGCAAGATATTACCTGCACTGGATCTTTAGAATTTCTGTGTAGCCTCATATAAACTGAAGAATCACAAGTATCAGTTTCACATGAATATACCATACTGGTTTCATAAAAACGTGGCAAGCTCGAATCGCATAGATAAACAGCCAACAACATGGGTGAATTGTTTGTCGAATTCATGTATCCCAAATAATCACCTTTGACTAATCTATTTATTTGGGTTTCATTGATCAAAAGAAATTGTAAGCAAGCTTTCCATATGCGAAAATCACAAGCTCCTTTAACCCCAGAAATCCATCTTGAATTTATAAAACATTTTAAAAGATGGATCTTATTTGAATTTTATAAAAGTGTACAAAGTACATAAAGGCATACGGTTATAAAACAAATAAAATGTATTTTACGGATAACAAACTAAAAATATGAGTAACCGTACGTCATGTAATTCTAAATTAGTGTAAACAACTAAATGCAATGAATTTTTCTTTTTACGACATTATACAGCAATAGTAGTGGCTTCATATAATTATATTTCTTCAACGTACGTGACCTAGAAAAAAATTTTGTGAAAAGAATATCAAAAAGAAATCTGGCATGAAAAGTTTTACAATGTCTGCATATCTAATCTCGCTAAGTACATGTATTAGCTCTACACTGTAGGGTACACTCATGTTTGGACAATACTAATCTCCTGTTCACACAAACGCAGATTTGAGCTCTTCATTCAATACCTGACAGTCGATATAAAATGAAAATAAACACTACATTGAAAATGATCTTTATGAGGAACCGACGATCTAAATAATACGTCTAGTTGTGCTCATCTAGTTCTACATGCCTTAAATTGCACTATTTCGAGAGTTCTTAGTTAGGAAATCGGTTCAAATACTTCTAATTATCATACCACTCCAGTTTTTAAATTCACAAATTTCAAAATATTCGTTTGATTGGTTGTCAGTAACAATGACCTGCAGCCACTTGGTTAGTTTCAAAAATTCTGACTTTAGTTTGACAGTAATTACCTGCAGACCCAATAGTACTTGGTAATAAACTCCTAGGTGTAAAGATGGAGTACTGTCAAGGACTCTGAGAATCAACTCATGAGCCAAGGCTTATGGTTACATAGGAATGTTGTATGCATCCTATGCTTAGCACACATCCATACTAACCAACAGCATTTTCGATTTGGTGTCCAATTTTACAATAAGGTAACAATGTGAAAAAGTTCAAATTAAACTGATAGTGACTTTAGGAAACTGATAGTAATGAATATTTAATATATCAAGGTTTAGTTGATGAAAAAGATGGTTTTGAAAGTTATTAAAAATAAACATTTAAAAAGACAAAAAGGTAGTTAGAGTTTTAAATTAAGCTGTTATTTATGAGTCATGAGAACCGAAAGAAGTAACCGATTTATTGTTTGATCTATGATAAGACTGGTTGAAAGGATTAACATATTGAAAGAAAATTTTGTCTCACATTCCGATGGGAGATGAGGTTAGAATAGTTGGATCCGTATCCAAATGAAGTGAAATTTTCCCCGTGTTAGTTATGTTTAGATAACTAAAAAAGAAACAATTAGAGTAAAATAGATACATACCCAAAACGTATTTCAGATCCTCTATAATAATCATTTGAAGATTCAGTAAATTCAGACAGATAAAAGTTAGGTGTCTCCAGGCATTTTACGAGTAATGATGAAACTAAGGATGGTTTACAGATCGGCGTTAGATTCAATAAATAGTCTAGAACCAAACATTCCACTTTAAACTTCGAAAAGTACATTTCGGAGGTCAAATCTTGAGGTTTGTTAATCCTTCCATCCCTGTTATTGCCGTTTTTTGTAACACAGGCGTATGCCCAGAACTGTATACAATTGGTGATATCCAAACTTAAGGGCTTCAGAGTATAATCATTCCAAATAGCTTGAATGGCACAATCTAAAGACTGGCTTTCTGCACTGCTAAAAATATCGTATTTAGCAAGCTAGTTTTTAGAAAATCGTGAATTTACAATCTAAATGGAAAATAATACCTTAAAAGGTATCAAAAACTCATCAGGGATGTTTGATTGACAATACTGTTTGTTCTGTTCAATTCTATTCACAATAACATTCAAGCTGGAAACTCCAACAAATGAGTATCTTCCATAAAGATATGTTTTTAGGCTATTCTGCCGGCACTGCGTGATCATTCTGTATGCTAACTTGCAAACTTTCTTAGGAATCATGCATTTCACACTACTGTAAAAAGCTCATCTTTTAAGGAAAACGTCTTACCATTGTGATGATACTGATCCAAAGGAAAACATTGTGTCATTGTCTTGCCCTTTATTGACATGACTGGCCATTAAAATGTGTATAGCTACAAAAATAAAAGTTCAGATCCTGGAATATTCGAATTAACTACATATAAAATGATTGCAGACATAATAACTAAATCAAAACTTTATTTTAAAAAGGCATTTTATAAGAATCTAATAAAGCGGATTATGGACATTATCATCAAGCTTATATATCTTGACGAAAAACGAGTAACTGCACTTTCCTATTCCTCTATTTATATTTGCGCTAATGTAGAATAATTCATATCAACGTTCTACTGTATACAGTGGCATATATCTTTGTTACTTGTAGTTGAAACATTTACAGGATTAGCCACCATCTAAAGCATCACTAGAAGTCTAAATAGTGTTCAAAAAAGCTAAGGATAGAACACCGTCTGTATGATTAAGTGGTCCATAGTCTAGAATCCTCGCGAAGTCTGACAGTATCATCAACTGCAGATGGAGTATTTGAAGAAGAAACACATAGATAATTAAGAGATAAACACGAAACAGCTGACGCAATAACAGTATTCATAGAGACCAAAAAATAAACAAAATCAAACAAAAACATCGAAGTGAGGTTTACTAATTTTATTCTTAGTTGAAAGCAAGTAAGATAAAAGAACTACAATAGGTAGCAAAAAGATGATAAGAGCAAACAATATAAATATAGGAAAAAAGGGGAGCAATAATTAAATGGAGATTTGTTTCTTTATTTTGCTAGTGGAGACAAAAAGCATGCTAATGATATTGTGCCATGACAAAAATGGCTTTGAACTATTAGTTCTATGAAGGCATCTTAATCATGATGTCCTAATGATGTAAAAATGGCCGAAAACCTATTCTTAGAGGTAAAATTAAGCCTAACGATTCGCTTGGAATGTAGCGAAACTAAAAGGATTATTTCGAATGTCTGAAAATAGTCTTATTGATTATATTCAGCATTTTGGACTTGGAAATGTCAGCATTTAAATAATATAAACACAAAACATGTTGACAAAAGTTTGAAACCTGAAAAGTTATATAAGATCCCTTTTGCACTTCAAAGCCGTCAATATTACATGAACACGGATTCGCTCAGTTTTGCCTAAACTTGTGAAGTTCGACCCACAGGTGACACAGACACAACCTTTTTTCAAGTCAGTATTCATCCATCGCCTTGTCTGGAAATGTATGGCTGTAAGCATTTCTCAAGAAACATAGTTAACCATGTGTTTCACGAAAACCTGGTTTTAGGTAACAGAACTTATTAAACACGTCTTACTAAGGAACTACACATTTGTCACGAAAGTTTCACAAAAATGAGCAAAATTATATTCACTTCATAAGTGGAAGAACGTATAAAGCTTCAGTCTGTATAAAGATGGAAATCGAAAAATCACCAAAACACACCACTGAGAAAGTTTCATACACATAGTTCCCTTTATAATCTTGAAAAGAGAAAGAACAAAGATTTCAGCAGAATGGCATGGATTCATTTTATTTCGCTTGGTTCTTGCCAGCTGCTCAAAACCTGTTATATTCAAAATTCATAATTACAAAGTACGTTCAGTCTACTTACATGAAAGATTTTAGTTGAAATGACAAAGTAAATGATTCAAATATCGAATGTCGGGTAAAATTCATTAACATTACTCACGACCTTCAAATCAAGGCTTGCAAGGGCTTCCGAAAACCCTTCGAAGTTTATCGATAACTTATCTAATATAACGCTCAATAGTATAGAAGCAGAAGTCTTATCACTTGGACTCAAATTTTACATACCAAAAACAAGTACTGACAGGATTGACATAGAAGCTCAATTCGTAAATTTACTTGACCAGTTAAGAGACATGCATCCAATGAATGAAGTAAATGTGTGGTTCAAATTAAGGTTAGTTGATATTGCCAACCAACGTTGCGTTTCATCGACATTCAAGTCCAATATTGCATTCAAAGAACATCTGACAGCGTTAAGAAACACCGAAAAAATAACAAGGTAGTGATCTTGAGTTCAGATAAAGGTTCATCCTAATGAATACAACTGATTATATCACTAAGATGAACTCAATCTTAGATGAACAACTGAGATTTAAGACAGATAAATTCAAAAAGGATTAGAAACATATACATTAGGAGATTCATTGCAATTTGCTGACAGACTAAATAGTATGAATATTGCCTGTAAGTGCGTGGTTTCTTTTGATGTAACATCCTTCTTGACCAAGATACCACTTTTGAAACTACTGATATAACTTTACGAAATTCTGATCTCCCACCTTTATCAGTCCCAGCATTCAGAAAACTATTTGTGTGCCCAAAGGACGTCCAATTCTGGTTTAATAACACCATATTGCGTCAAGTTGATGGTGTAGCAATGGAAAGTTCATTAGGTCCAATTTTGGCAGATATTTTTATAGGATATCTTGAAAACACGGTGTTTAAACAAGCGATTAGCGAAATAACGGGATATTCCAGATATGTTGATAACGCGTTTATTGTCTGCGACAGTAATCAGAATGCAATCCATCTGTTGGAACTCTTTAACAATGTTCATCCCAATATACAACTTACTTTGGAACACTAGAAGAATGAAATGTTCCACTTCCTTGATATTGTCATACAACCGTGAGAAGAAAAGATATTTCAACGTTCATTTTATCGAAAAAGTACTTGAAATAGTCTTTATTGAATCTTAATAACTTTTATCCAATAAGTTTTTAAAAAAAGCATTGGTCAAAACACTATTTTAAAGGGAAGAAGGATTGGTGAACGCTGAAAAATGCCTAAGAGACAACTGCTACCCACAGAAATTTAGGCAAGACTATAATTCATGGACAAACCAATCAGGTGTAAGATAACAGGTCGTGGGTTTTTGTGAGAAACTCATTCATCCATTTGACTAAATAGCGTTTTGGCATTTTAGCTTATGTCAGTTCATGAAAAACCTAGATCTAATTCCTAACCCTAGCCGCCAACTACAGATAACTCAAACTCATCGGACAGGCCTATAACCCTCATTTAGTCCTAGTCAGTAGGTGGATATTCTCAAGGTAACTTAAGTGTTACTCATAGGTCGTCCGTCAATGATGGCCTCACTTAAATTTATTGACAATGTAAAAACCCTAAAGGAAACATGACGGACGTGACCATTGTTAGTAAAAAAAACAATATATACATATGTAAATCTCATCTTCAAGAGTGATAAAGTCGCAACCTCAATCAGCAGGATGCCTAACGCTGAATTATCCAGAACTTAACCGGCAGCCAAACTATTAATTTTATATAAAAAAACAAGTTCAGTAACCCAGTCAAAGGTCGACAAGCACTAATTTCATTTTACCGCCAACTGTGCTCATAAACTAACGTGTACCTGACAAAGCAGCTACACTGGCCGAACAGCGGGGAGAGTATACCTTAGATTTTTGAGTACGTTTCAAAGAGACTGAGAACAAGAGGAAGAACGACTTTAAACAGTGAAATTACTAAACATCTCTTGGATACAGAGCATCAAGTCGATACCTTGCAATCTTCCAAGATGATTAATAAGCAGCCAAGATCTTCTTATCAAGTTTGCCGAAGCCACTGCTATCAGGCGTCAAAAACCTGATTTATGTATTCAACAAGGGGATGGTTACTAATTTTTCCTCACCTCAGAGACAAATACCCCTCCATTGCATTCTCTAGCTTTTTTCAACCTTCTTCCGGTTAATTACACCATTACGTCTTTTTATTTAAACTGACTTCTAGATTAGTGATCTTATATTATTAAGAGACCTTTACTCATTTGATTCTCACTTATCAGCATTTACTCACTGAGTAACCACTTGTATCTGCCCATCTGGACTCTCGTTACAGTCAGAGTTGTAGAATATTCTACGTAAGATATGAATTTACAGTATTTTATTCAGTCTATTAGGTCTATTTACACCTTTGAAATAGATACTTATGTCTTCAAAATAACTTCCGATTAAAATGTTTTATGTTATTAGTTCGAATGCACTTTGTAATTATGAATTTTGAATATAACAGGTTTTGAGCAGCTGGCAAGAACCGAGCGAAATAAAATGAATCCATGCTATTTTGCTGAAATCTTTGTTCTTGCTCTCACTAAGATCGCGAAAATGGTCTGATTATAATTTGATGTACATTTCCGGAAATAAACTCCTTACACAACATTTACTGTGACTACTGAAGCAGAAATATTGATGCACTTGTTACTAATAAATTGTTTCGGACATAAAAATATATATTTCTCCTTAAATTGGTTACAATAACTTGAAGGGTATGAGAGTTTCTAGACCATGGGCAGTCAAAAAACCTTGAAAATGTACTGTATCTCCCTGACAGCAAATCAAGTCATCATAAAATAAGACGAAACAGCTGTTGTGGATGACGCCATTTCACTTATTAGATAGGAAAATTGATTAAAATCCACTAGAAAATACCTCTATAATATTTTATCATATTGCTTTCTGATAAAAAACAAAAGTTAAATCCAAAGCTTACATCGTTCTCCTTGATGATGAAGAAACATGCAAGTATATAATCTTATCAAGTCACTCCTGGCATAACTTACGCACCTGTGAGAGGATTTAAAACCGACTGACCTCCAGTTGTTACAACAAAAAACGTAGAAACCAATCTAAACAAACACATGCCCAATCTTTATTGCGGAAATTCAATATCGAATTTCTTGCTTAGAATTGGTTTGAAATTATCAATTACATTCAAAACAAATACCGCTTATGAGAAAATTATTGCTTTGAAATTTTTTTCAGCAGTCAGTTTCTCAAACGGTTCCCAAAGGCTACAAGCAACCTACAATCATCAAGAACCGCACTCTTCGTCCGCTAAACCGCAAAAGGCACTGCTGGGCAGAATAAAAACGAACTGACGGCGATGGAGCGTACAGGCAAAACAAACATATAAGGAATATATGCACGAAAGCTATAAGAGAAGACAGGCTTCGGTACCAGACAAAGCTTATGGATAAATTTGTCTCTAATCCGAAAAGCTTATTCCGTTATGCAGCCTCTCTTCGTCGAGCAAAACTTGAGTTCCCCAACTGCTAGATCCTAACGGCCCGACCGACCACGACAGCGACGCCGCTAACCTTTTGGCTGAACAATACTCTCGAACATTTCAACCGACCCACATCAACTATACTGAGGACAGCTTCATCTGCAACTGCACAGGACTTTCCGTAGTGAACCTGAGCGCTGACTTGGTGTTCCGGAAACTGCAGCACCTGAGTAACGACATTTCTTCTGGCCCAGATATTGTCCATTCTGCTATACTGAGGAAGCAGCCTCAATCAAGGCAACGCCGCTTAGCGTGATGTTCTCACACTCACTAAGTCGAGGAAAATTGGAAGCTGGCTCACATCACACCAATTTTCAAAGGAGGTCGACGCAGTGAATCTTCAAATTACCGACCGATGGCTCTTCTCTCCATACCCTCAAAAATCATGGAGTTCCTGATATGCGATGGTAAACATGACTATTTACTGTCCTTAAATTTCTTCTCACCCAAACAGAATGGTTTCAGGAAGGATTACTCTTGTATAACCAACCTCCTGACTGCGGTAGACAGATGGACAAGCATCGTCGATCGTAAGGGGAAGGTTGATATCATTTTTCTTGATTTCTCAAAGGCTTTTGATAGGGTTACCCATATATGTATTATCAATGAGCTCAAACGATTGCGTATCTGACCAACTCTGATTAATTGACTTACTTCATATCTGTAAAATCGATATTTTAAGGTCAGAGTTAACTTCACTTTATCTCAGGCTATGGAATGTCCTAGTAGGTTCCCCCAGGGCTCAGTACTATGACCCCTTCCCTTCTTGGTTTATATAAATAATCTTCCTCAACAGGTAACGTCAGACTCGTTACTTTTTGACGATGACGTGAAACTTTGGAGAGAGATACGCAACCAAGACGATATACAGGCACTTCAGGAGGATCTGACTCGAATTCAAAGTTGGGCAGACGAAAACGCACTTGCCTTTAACATGTAATAGTGTAAATTAGTCCATCTGCGACATGTCGCATGCTACAGTTACAACTTAGGAAACTCCTCCCTAGTAGTATCTCGAGTAGAAAAATATTTGGGAGTCCTGGTGCTCTGCGATCTAGTCTTACGCTAACTGTGACAAAAATGCCTTTCGAGCAAACCTTGCACTGGTGACATTGAAGCGCATTTTTGGCCAGTTTGACGGAAGAACTTTCCACACAATCTTCAACAGTTTTATTCGTCCCTATTTAGAGTACGGGAACATAGTATTTCCTCCCTCACTCCAAAAAGATATGGACGCTCTGGAGTGTATCCAACGGCAAGCCACGAAATCAATTCGGGGACTCAAATTCAAAACCTTGTGAAGAGTGTTTCGTGCCCTAAGGTAACTCTCGTGCTATTGATAGAAGAAACCAGACAAGTAGTGAATAGGTCTTTATTTCGATCTTCGCGCAGTCACAGTGGAGTGTGGGATTATTTGTTCAGACAAACAGACTCTCAACATTCAATATAAGATAATAGGGAATATAACGCTTATAAAAATAAGGAAGTGAATGAATACTTGAACAATACTGTTTTGGCATATGCTTGGTTGTTTGGGGTCAACTCTTAACCAACAAACCTAAGCTGTTACAAGTGCTCTCAATCACTGAAGCTTTACCCATTACAGTATAGGCGTCTTAGAGGTGACCTTCTGATGACTTACAGTATCCTCAACACTTCCGGATATATTCTTAAACCCTACTTGTACTTAGTCCCAATACAAGCCTAAGGGGTAACACCCAGAAACTG